CACCACCGGAGGTTGTGGCGGCAGTGGCTGGCCCTGTTGCATATGCGGCAGTGGAGGAGCCGCCTGCATTTTCTGGCCGGGCACTGGCTGCCCGTACGGGCTAGTGGCAGGCGGCGTGGAGCATTGCGGCGGCGTTCCAGTCACCGGTGGCGGCTGCTGCTGCTGCTGTTGCTGCTGCTGCTGTTGCTGCTGCTGCTGCTGAGGTGGCACTGGCGGTTGGCCAGGATGCTGCTGTTGCTGCTGCTGTGGCCCTGGCGGTGGTCCTCCGGGCGTTCCTGGCGGTCCGATCGGTGGCCCTGGCGGTGGTTGCTGCTGGGCCGCCTGCAGCGCCTGCTGCATCTGCATAGATATGGGCTTATTCCGCGCCAACAGCCGGTAGGCGGTGATCTGTGTGCGCAACAGATTGACCTGATTGCCATTCAAATGCTGATGCTTCGAGGTGGCCCGCATGGCCAGCAGCTGCGAGTAGCGCGGATCCTCCTGCAGTCCCTTCTCCTCCATCGAATCGATTGCTCGCTGCAACGCGTGCAGATTCTCCTGGCTGGAACGCTCTGGCGGCGGTGGTCCGCCAGGCGGTCCACCAGGAGATACAATGCAGGGTTGTGTGCCAGGTGCCTGAAAGAAACAGGATGAGAGGTCAGTGATTAGCCATCCAAAAGGGGGTGTTCATCCATTAGAGCTTTTCCTGTACCCAATCCACTTCATATGAAAGTTCCATTCAAAAGCAAACAAAATAATGGAAAAAAAAAGCTTCAGTCAGACCAAAACCCGTTCGACTGCCGCTGGTTGCCGACTGCTGGCTGCTTCCCAGTGCCTGATTCACTCGAAGCCAAGTCGGAACAGAACCAGAACAAAGCGCAATCTCGCAGACAAACAATTCAGATAAGAGAGAGAGAGAGAAACATAAGAGATGTCGGCCAGCACGGAGTTAATTGAGGAGCTCTACAACTTCATCCATCCGCTGGCAGTGCGAGCGGGCGAAATACTCCTCGAGGGCTATGAGAATGCGGGCAAGGCAGTGGCCCTCAAGGACGGGGACTTCTACAACGTAGTGACCGCCTATGACAATCAGATAGAGGAGTTTCTCATGGAGCAGATACTGGCCAGCTATCCGGATCACAAGTTCATCGGGGAGGAGGACACGCACAAGAACAACAATGTGACCAAGGCGCTAACGGATGCCCCCACCTGGATCATAGACCCCATCGATGGCACATCGAATTTCATCAAACAAATACCCCATGTCTCCGTCTCCATTGGCCTGTCCATCCGCAAACAGATTGTGCTGGGAGTGGTCAACAATCCTGCCCAGAGGAAGCTCTACACCGCCAAGCTGGGGCAGGGCGCCTTCTGCAATGGCAAGCCGATCCGTGTGAGCAGCTGCGAGCATCTGAATGATGCCAATGTCGCCTACGAAGTGTGTCTGCTGCACGCCCCAAAGATCCGGAAGAAGCACATCAAGCGCATCTACCACGTGGGTTCACATGCCAGGCGGTAAACAAGTCACACAAATCCTAACAGATCTTCCTTTTCGTTAACCTTTATGCTGTGCATTTTCCAGCCTTCTGGCATACTCGGCTGTGGTGGATTCCCTGTGCATGGTCGCTGCCGGCAATCTGGACGCTTTTCACATCGAGGACATGTTCCCGTGGGACTGTGCCGCCGGCTATTTGCTTATTCGTGAGGCTGGCGGTGTGGTAACCCATCCATATGGTGGACCCTTTCAGATCATGAAACCAGATCTTATATGCGCCGGCACCGAGTCCCTGCGCGCGGAGATTGAGCAGCTCATACGCAAGGCGGATCAGGAGAGGCATGTGGGGGGCGATAGTGAATAAATGTCATTGTATAAAAAGTAATAAATTATGCAAAATGTGGCCAATCATCGCTCTAGAATCTAGATTCTCTCATTATCTTTTGCTTATCACTTTTCATCCATCTTCTCTGCAGAGATAATAATCTGATATGTCTTTTGGCATGCACTGAAGGATGCAAGATATAACATTGACGGCACCTAAAAACTGTTTGCTCTATGCTAATCTGCAGCAGCTTAATTTAATTCATATCTTTTGTTTGTTCTCCACAATCCATTTACAGCTAGATGCATACCCACACCCCACCCCCACACCACATGCAGAGTAACTCTATCGCTTATCGCTGCTTCTCTCCTCCTCTCTTCTTCGCTTGGCAAAAGTTCAAAGTTCTAATGAATGGCAAAAAGCTTGCAGAAAAGCTTTACAGTTTACAGCTGTTTCTTTGCGCCCACACATTTTAGCTAGTCGAAAGCCAGCAGCCGCCGCCACCACAATGAGTAGCCCCCCCGTCAGCGAGTCCAGGCTCAAGGAGTATTACGATGTGGCCCTCAAATTGGTGCTAAAGTGCGGACCCCTCATGCAGGAGGGCTACCAGAAGGCAAAGACCGACTTCAAGGTCAAGACGGACTTTTACGATTTGGTCACCGTCTACGACAAGCAGATTGAGGATATTCTGACCGAGGGACTGGTGGCAGCCTTTCCCGAATCCCTCATCATTGGCGAGGAGGAGTCGGCGGCCTCGCAGCGGCAGGCGGAGCTGACGGACAAGCCCACCTGGATCATAGATCCCATCGATGGTACCACAAATTTCATACACAGAATCCCACACTGTTGCATCTCCGTGGGCCTGGCCATCAACAAGGAGCTGGTGGTGGGCATCATCTACAATCCGCCGGCAAATGAGCTGTTCTCCGCCTGGAAGGGCCATGGCGCCTTCCTCAATGGCCAGCCCATAAGCACATCCAAAGTGACGACGGTGAGACAAAGCTTATATAATGGTGACGGGACGCGACGGGAATAGCAAGAGCCACAAACAAGATAAACGAAAGTCACAAAGTAACTGTGCATGCACTCCACTCCACTACCTCCCTCCCTCGCTCGCTCGACCTTGATTTAGTTGTACTCGCACACAAGAGAGAGACCGACCATTAGCATTCGTTAGCGTCGTTCTGTTCTCTCATATTCAAAAAGCTCTGCCTCAACTCTTTCCCTCTTTTATCCTCTCTCTCTCTCTCCCCCTGTAGATCAATCAAGCTGTGATTGCGTACGAGATCTCTTTGATTCACGCTGCCGCCGTGAGGGACAAGAACGTGAAGCGTCTGTACAAGCTGGCCTCCAATGCCACTGGAACGCGGTGCTTCGGCAGTGCAGCCCTGACCCTGTGCTATGTGGCCACCGGGCAATGTGACGCCTACCATGTGGAGGATCTGAAGCCCTGGGACATAGCTGCGGGTGCCATTATCCTTACGGAAGCCGGGGGCACAGTTTGCCATACGAATGGCGGGAAATTCGATGTGATGAAGCCGGATTGCGTGTGCGCCTCCACGGAGGAGTTGGCCAAGAATGTGATTAGCCTTATCGAGGAGGCCAATCAGATAACGGGCTACACATTCAAGTGAACAGCCAGAGACCAGTATATATCTTTTGTAATACAAATGTAGACTCCTTTAAAGAGCGAGAGCAGAGATTAGAGTAAACATTCAAACAAATATAAAATATTCATTCCCATTTTAGACTGGAATTATTTCTGGGAAAAAGCTCCCTTAAAAGCTTAGCCAGCTGTTTTGATGGAAACAAAAATAGTAGTGCGCGGTGGAACCATGAGTAAGCACCAAATCAGTGAAAAAAAACTGCAGGAATACTATAAAGTGTCCCTGGATCTGGTCAAACAATGTGGTCCCCTGTTTCTGGAGGGTTTCCTGAAGCCCAAAACTGATTACGAGGTGAAATCAGCCTTCTATGACCTGGTCACCGTCTACGACCAACAGATCGAGGCCACTCTCACGGCTGGACTGCTCAAGGCCTTCCCCGAGTCCCACATTATTGGCGAAGAGGCGCTGGCAGGATCCCTGGATCCCCAAGCAGAGCTAACAGATGCCCCCACCTGGATCATAGATCCCATTGATGGTACGAACAATTTCGTGCGCAGAATCCCCCACTGCTGCATCTCCGTGGGCCTGGCGATCAACAAGGAGCTGGTGGTGGGCATCATCTATAATCCGGCGACAAATGAATTGTATTCCGCGTGGAAGGGTCAGGGAGCCTTCTTGAATGATCATCCCATCAGCGTAGCCTCCAGCGTAGTCACGGTTAGTGTTTTAGCGATAAGAGAGAGTCATTCTGATTGGCGTTTTTCTACCTTCTCGTTTGCAGATCCAACAGGCTATTGTGGGCTATGAAATGTCTCTAATCGTTGTGGCCAAGGGGCGGGACCAGAACGTGAAGCGTCTGTGCAAGCTGGCATCGAATGCCACTGCGTAAGTCTCTGATCTTCTAAACTGATCCATTATTTTATTTGGCCAATATTCCATCAATCAGCACTCGAAGTTTTGGCAGCGCAGCTCTGACGCTCTGCTATATAGCCACCGGACGCTGTGATGCCTATCATGTGGAGAATCTAAAGCCCTGGGATCTGGCCGCTGGTGCAATAATCCTCACCGAGGCGGGTGGCAGAATCTACCACACCAGTGGCGGTAAATTCGAGGTGATGCAACCGGACTGTGTCTGCGCTTGCACCGAAGAGTTGGCCAGAGATGTGATCCAGTTGATAGAGGAGGCCGATCGGATTACAGAATATACGTTCCAATGAGCATACCACAATAAAATGGACCCACAATATGGGCCTGACTTTTGCCTCTCTCTCTCTCTACTGTTCCATAAATGCGAGTAACCTCCGGTTTGAATAGATCATTCACGGCAAAGACGGAAGGGTGAGGGGGGTCTGATAAAAACTGGTTTTACAACTGTCTGTGAGATAAAAATTGTACTTTTGTGTACGTAAGTACGTACATCAAACAAATTGAGATAAAACAGTGACTGGCACTGGCACAGGCACAGGCACAGGTGATATGCCAATTTTGAGTACAAGCTTCGGGCTATCATAAAACTCAATGCAGCCAACGGAGCAGCAAACAATCAAAGCTGGGAGGAGAACAGAGACAATTGTGTCTACTAAATATAATCAAAGCTCCTCCCCACACAATGTCAGATGCCGGAGCAGCACCAGCCAGCCAGGCCTATCGCTTTGTGGCGTGAATATCTGATTAGTTGGCAACGCAAGCTGAGCGACGAAGCACCGCCTCGCCTCGCCTCGTCTCGTTTAGGAGTACTTGAATACATAGAAAATGTCATCGGCAGTAGGAGGGCAATCGGATGTTGTGGAGGAGCTGTACAACTTCATCTATCCACTGGCCGTTAAGGCGGGTGAGATTCTGATGGAGGGCTACGAGCGTACCAGCAAGAATGTCTCCATTAAGGGAGACTTTTACGATGTGGTCACCGACTACGATAACAAAATCGAAGATTTTCTGATGGAGCAGATACTGGCCAGCTATCCGGACCACAAGTTCATTGGCGAGGAGGAAACGGCAAAGAACAATAATGTGTCCAAGGAGCTGACAGATGCCCCCACCTGGATCATAGATCCCATCGACGGCACATCGAATTTCATTAAACAAATTCCCCATGTCTGTGTCTCCATTGGTTTGTCCATCAACAAACGGATCGTGCTGGGTGTCATTAACAATCCTGCCCAGAAGAAGATCTTCACAACGAAGCTGGGACAGGGCGCCTTCTGCAATGGCAAGCCCATCCGTGTGAGCAGCTGCGAGAGCATCAAGGATGCCAATGTCGCCTATGAAGTGTCCCTGCTGCATGTCCACTCGGTGGCCAACAAGCATATCAAACGGATCTACCACGTGGGACTGAATGCCAGACGGTGAGTGGAAGACCCCACTATCTGTTTCTCTATATATGTATCCTTTTCCTCTAGCTTGCTGGCCTACTCCTGTGTGGTGGATGAGCTGTGCATGGTGGCCGCTGGTAATCTGGATGCATTCTACATTGAGGACATGTATCCCTGGGACTGTGCTGCTGGTTCCCTGCTAGTGAGTGAGGCTGGGGGCGTGGTCACGCATCCCTTTGGCGGACCTTTCGATATCATGAAGCCCGATCTTATCTGTGCGGGCACAGAGACGTTGCGCAAGGAAATCGAAGATCTGTTGCGCAAGGCCGACCGGGAGGAGTCTGTGGGGGGTGTGGCAGTTAAAAAGTAATTTAAGCATCACACATTCCACAATAAATTGTTTGCAAAAAGACCGGTCGAAATTGAAAAGCTTAAAGGTCGCTTCGATATCAATTGAAAGCTCGCTGATGTGTGAAGCTTTCGGAGATCGCCGGCGTTTTTTGGTGATAATAAACAATACAATAATTTTGGCGCCACATAGTACATGCCGGGGGAGGAGCGTGTATGCAACTTACATTTGGAGGCATTCCGTGTGTCTGATATCCAATGGGCGACATATTCGGTCCCGTCGGCGGCATCTGCATTCCCATGTGCGGACCTTTTGAGAAAACTGCAAATGATTATGCGTGATGGACTATAGATGTGGAGAGGGGAGCATATCAAGAACATACTCATTCCCTGATGATGTGGCGGCATATGATGTGGAGGTGGTCCCTGTCCCGGTGGTCCATGCTGCATCGGATGTCCGTAGGCAGCTGGGTGGCCCGGTGGCGGGGGCCCTTGCATGTGGGGCGGTGCTCCAGGGGGTGGCCCTTGCGGCGGCCCCGGCTGCTGGTGCGGGTACGGACTATGTGGCGAGGGGGCTGGACTCTGGGAGGGCGGTGCCATCGGGCTGGGCGCCTGCGGTGGCGGCATGGGACTGTTCGCCGGCGAGGGCGAGGCCATTTTCACTTCGGGTCGGTCTCCTGTGCGGTGTGCGGGGGTAGTGCGAAGGCGCCGAATATGTTACAAAACTAGCTGGTGCACCGACACCTAAAAGTGTAAGCTAAACGTACATTTGCGTTGTTATTGCACATTGCATTGTTTAAAAACAAATATAAATATCTTTTGTAAAGGGATATCTAATCGCAGCATTGTTTTTCACTCGACTCGCTTTTTGTCACACTTTTTGCGCAGTCTGTGTTTGACTCTGCACAAATGGTAGAGTTGGCCACATATGCCCCGATTCGATGGTATAACTTGTGAGCCACTTCGAATACACTACATTTAGCACCGAATAGCAATATTCTGGCATAATAATATTACCTATTACCTATTTGAAAATAAGGTTTTTTTTTTCTTGACAGACGCGACAATGGCGGACTAGAAGTGTCAAACCATCGAGGGCACTATCGATAGTATCGATATTTTACTGATGGCCTCTACTATCGACGGTTTTGCGACTATCATGATAGTATCGAGCTACAGTCGTTGCGCTTTTGATATGTTTGGATTGGCGGCTATAAAATACGAAGACACATTTGTAAACAAATCGACAGGTGGCATCTAATTTTTACAATGGACAAGTTCCTAAAAGGTTTCAATGGTTTTTTAATAATTATTTCAGCCCGATACTATCACGATAGTATCGATTGTTTTTTCAACACATTCAACGTAGATATTCCTCGATTTTGCTATTCCGTTTAATATTACCAGCTAGCTGGGAGTCTCAGCCCTAAACAAATAATTTTATCCGATAGATACATAAATTTTTTAAGAGATTGGAAAGTTTTCAGAAGTCCTTTTTATTGGATTATTTACATATTAAGGTTCAAACAAAAACAGCATAAAACGATGATGCGGGCTGCCACTCCATGATATTTTGTGAACTGATCTGGTCTAAGCGAATCGGTAATGAAACGGGTCACAAAATATCAGCCCTATAAACAAAAATCCGCAAAATCTTTTCCGCAAAAAAAAAAAAGGTAAAACCTCTGCGGAAACTTTTCCACGGTATTTTTTGTGCGATAAATACTTTGGTATATTTCTGGGCGTCAGTCACACTAATGATCATTCAAACAAAAATGGCGGTCACACTCCCAATGAGATTTTGTTGTTGTACTTTAAATATACACTCGGAGATTTAATTAAACAATTGCATGCATGCATTTTAAGCTGCGGCAGCCACCAACATCCAAAGAAGACGATCAAACAGCACCAACGACGACGCGCAATTCCTTGCTCAAGCGTCGCATCAGTTTTAGCGGCAAGAAGTCTGTGAGGTGAGTGCACACTTGGAGGGGGTGCAATTTATACAAAACTGCAGTCGTAATAATACTTGTCTGCTGCACAGGGAATTCGTGAATACAGAGGAGCCGCACTATTGGGATAACTCCTACGAACTATCGGATCACACCAATGGCGAAGACAGCAGAGAGAGGGCATCGAAAACTGGCCCCTGCCAGCAGACGCCGACAGCGGACAAGGAGAATATACCTCTGCAATGTGAGTACGAAAGTACCCGAATCGATTCGACGCTGAATCTACGGACGAGCATCGGCATGGATGTGCCCATGTTTCCATATGAAAAGAGTCGGAACACGAGATCGGAAACGAAGCCGAACAGTACGGTGAGCAGAGAGTCGCTCTATGCCGAGAGTTTCTCGCTCTCCACGATTGGGCGGGACAAGCTAAAGGATGCGATGTACAACCATCGAATAATGGACAAGACCATCGATCTGATGCATATCTCATCGAAAGCCAGGGATGACTGCTCGTTGGAGTTGTCCTCGTTCGAAAAGGAGCAAATGAAAACACAACCAACGAGATCTGTGAGTGATTCCGTTATGGACATCACGCCACTAGGAATCGCTGATCCGGTCCCCACCCCAGCTGCCGCTGCTGCTGCTTCAGCTAAGCAGAGTTTCATGGACCTGGAGCAGGAGTTCCTCAATTGCTCTCATCAACGTCTGACAACGAAAGCAACGGAGAATATTAATCCTGTACAGAATGCGGGGAATATGGAGATGGAAGAGAGCCGAAAGGAGAGCCAGAGGCAGGCAGATGCATCCTTTGACTGCGACATGAATGGTTGGTAGCTTCCTTCTCCTCCCTTTTGGCAGTTTTTAATCTGAAACTTTTGCTCTTGCAGTCTCCGATGCTAGAGACCGTTTGCCATCGAATGGCTCCTTCGAAACGGAGTCCAACAATAGCACCATCAACTATCTGGGAGACGAGTCTGTTCTCATACCATATGACATGATTTCCGGGAAGAACATCAGCAAAAAGTTGACCTTCCGCCAGCTGAACGATCAGCTGGAAGCGGGCAAGATCAAAGTCCTTGTGAACGGCCCCAGGACGCCCACAACCGATCGCAGCACCAAGCAGAAGAGGTTTTGGCATGGCCTCCATCAGGATCAAGATCAGGATCCCATGGGCATCAACATAAGGAGCATCAAGCCGCGGGGAACGTTGAATTTCAGTGAGAACATGACCATGTCCCCCCTGGCACAAGCAACGCCAGTGGCAGCGCGTGTGGCAGTGGAATTGCCGAGAGAAAAGCTGATGGTACCACCACCGGACGACAAGCGCAAGTATCGGCTCTCGCAGGCGGATGAGATGATGCCGGACACCACGAAGGTCTTTTGTGGCCACGAATACACACTGCAGAACATGAGCTTTGCCCGCCATGTGGAGCCCGATAACGAGAGTATACAGCAACGCATTGAGTGGGCCAAGCTGCGACGTGCATCTCAGGATCCCACAGTGCCCTCCACCATTGGCGAGGAGAAGATCTGGAATCCGTTTATGCGTGTCCACGAAGCGTCTGTTCAGAAGCATGCCGGAGGAGCAACCGATCCCATTATAACCATGGGCAAGTTGCGCAAGGAGAAAGATAACTTCAAGGCCTAAGGGCTTTTTATTTGATAAATTTAAAATGTGATTATTGGGTTTTGATTAATTTAATGTAAAATGGAAATTAATTAAATAAAAAGTAAAAATGATTAAAAATTGATATCAGGATTCCAACAACGCGGGCGAAAAGTTTTGTTGCCAATCTTTCATCGTGAAAATCAGCTGCGTGTGTCAAGAAAATAAATTCGAGCACATCACCCACATTTGCTCGGAGGACAACCCCCCTAAACTCAAAATCTGAGCTATTTACTTTTTCCAAAGTTATGGGGGCTGTCGACAGACTAAAGTATGTTCGCAACAGCTTCCTTAGGTTTCCAATTTGCTCGTCGTAGCAAGATTTTAAGCTTGCTGGCGGCGGGGTGATGTCCATTGCGTCGAGCTGTTGCTCCCAAGTCTGCTGCTTATATGTCGCTGCATACATATTCTCTAGAGTTGTGTCCACGTTGCGGTATTTATTGGCCATTTTTTGCCGCAAGTGGACCTTGTCCCAGAGGAGCGGGAAAAAATTGGCCAAATACTGCAACGGGAGCAAATTAGCCTTGCATCTATCCGATATAACCGCGCACACATTGTGGGCCAAGCCGAGGTTGAAAATGGAGTTAACAACAACGGCAAGTCCAGCCTTGATTTCTCGGCGCCCTGCGTCGGTGGCACGGATGTACAAATATTTCAGGCTTGTACCATCCACCTTTACCGCAGCAATTGCCAACGCCTTCCAACGTTTGAAATGAACCTGAAGTATATATATACATACATATATATTATGGTGTAATTTTTTTTAATTTTTTAAAAAACTATATTTTGGGCCACAGCAATTCTAGTGTTGACTAGTGTTATTAAGTTAAAAAATAAATAAAAATTAAATAATAACCCGATCTGATTCAGATTCGGCAATCTGGTAGATATGGTCATTCCACGAGACTTGTAGCCAGACAGACGGACAGACGGGAAAAAATATAATAAAGCTTACGTTGGTGGGTAAAATGATACTCGAATATCAATAGAAATGGCTGATGTACACATTGCCATTCGAGACGGATGAGAAGGCACTGGACTTTGCCCTTAAATTTTCTGAAGGACTCAAGCCGAGCACCCAACAAGACGCCGGCATAGTTAAATTAAATGGGAAAAAAGTTGAAGTGGAGTCTATCAGGAGCGTCCCACCCACACCCCCAGCCATGTGGAAACCAGAACCAACAACACCGGCAAGCGAAGAACCGGCATCACCGGCATCCCCGGCATCCCCGATGGAATCAAGAACACCGGCAGTTCTATTAACCAGGGAATCGTCAGCTGCAGCTCCCCCTCGCGACGAAACTCCCAAACGGGCTGGCGTACCGAAAACAACGCCCCCAGTGTTTCGACCAATAGAGGCCAGGACACCATCCTACGCGTGCAGCAGTATCTTTGGTGTTATACAGGGGACCCCCTCCCCTCGATACAGCGCGTTCACCGGTGGGTCCATCCGGCAGGAGCAGGAGGAGGAGACCATGACCGTGCTGAAAATTTTTAAGACGGCCGGGGCCAGATCATTGCTGCTGCGTGCGTGGCAGCCAGAGCCACTAACACCGGCGATGAGGAAGACGGCGATTAACACCATCGCCGACCATTTCATCCAAAGGGAGCAGAAGCTCACCCTCAAGGAATGTCGTGTTTTTGAGAGTCAGCTTCTGAACCTATTTCCCGGAGAAGAGGAATCAGATTACAGGACTGATCGGCGAGGAAAAATATATATTCGCTATAAAAATAAGTGCACCGCGGCAGCGTTTAAAAAAAATGTAAACAGGAAGCTGTTCCAGGCTCCCCAACCCACCTGTGTCGCCAATGTCTGTGACTCGAATTTGGTCGCAGGGGCTCCCTGAAATCTTTGACGAGATCGATAAAGACGAATACAAAAATAAATATATTTAAAAACAATAGATAACCGATTTCTTTACTAAATTGTATTTAGCATATGTCGCCCAAGAACAACCACGATCCCACAATGTCCAGCGACTCGGGGCAATGCAAATCATTGATAACGAGATCCGCCGACAGCTCGCGGAGCAGAAGGACAAATCTGGTGATCAGGAGAATGCCGATGATGACATGAATGGACAGCCGAATAATGATAATTTCCTTTGTTTTGTGTAAGATTTGTTTGTGTTTTTTTTGTTTGTTTTGTGTACTTATTAAAAACTCAAACTTGAAATTGAACTCGCCGTTGAATAAGAAGTTATGTGGATATTTTGTGGCTACTTTTTTAAAATTATCTTTAATTTGAGGTCGAAACTGCTGCTCCTCCGACTTAAGCAGCCCCTGGAACCCGATCGGTCGGATAGACTAACAGAAAAAAACAGTCGACATTAGTTTTTTCTGTATACAATATTTTAGATGGGCAGTTTTTTTTTTTGTTATTTTTTTGATTTAGTGTGATATCAGGAGTTTACGCGTCAGATACAGCTGCTCCACCTCTTATAGTCTTTGAGAACTAGGCTTCACATAGACGGAAAAAAAGATGGACTCGGATATTGATACTGATCAAAAATATATGTATGTAAATATTTATGTAGCTACTAAATGGGGCGGGGAACGATTCCTTTTGTCCGTTAACATTCATTTTTTATTTCTATACAGTTTTTAATTTTTATACCCGTACTCAAAAAGAGTTAAGGGATATATTAGATGTGTGGTAAAAGTGGATGTGTGTAACGCAGAGAAGGAAACGTTTCCGACCCCATAAAGTATATATATTCTTGATCAGCATCAATAGCCGAGTCGATATAGCCATGTCTGTCTGTCCGTCTGTCTGTCTGTCTGTCTGTCTCGATGAGCGCCTAGATCTCAGAGACTATAAGAGCTAGGGCAACCAAATTTGGTTTCCAGACTCATGTGATATCCCACTGTTACAAGTGTATTTCAAAATTTCGCCCCGCCCCCTTCCGCCCACACAAAGGACGAAAATCTGTGGCAGGCACATTTTTAAAGATACGATAAAAGTAAAAACGCAGTATCGTAGAGAATGCCCATATCTACCAGACTGCTGAATCTGAATCAGATCGGTTCATAATTATAGCCAAGATGACGAAATTAATTTTCAGTTGCTTCCCCTGCCCCCTCCTGACCACTACAACACAACTCATTTTCCTTCTCGCTCGCACACTCTGCCGCGTTCAGTGCGCGAGCAACCCCTAGCGGAGGAGATGTAGAATCTAAAGGGTACATGTATAATCTACATGTTAGATGTAGAATATACATTGATAGATTTAGATGTAGATAACAGATGTAGCAAAAAAATGTAAAATGTAAAATTTTTTTTTTTAATGCTAAAAGTAAATACTGACTGAGTACGGGTATAAGTAGAGTCGCGTCTTTAGAAGCGACTCACACGTTCCTTCTCGTTTATATTATATATTAAAAAGGGTGGAGCACAGGCCTAGCTCCTGCGAGCTTTCTTGCGAATGGGCCTCATAGTCTTCCTCTTCAATATTATCACAATCAACTTCGCCAACGTCCGCTGAAGGCACATCTGCAACTTTGGGAGATTGTTCAGTTAACTCCAACGTCTCCTCGTCAAAGTCAATAGCATCGTCATCGTCGCACAGATTTACGAGCTGCCAAGTTCTTTGGGGTACTCCTTGGTGACGAACAACTCAATGTAATCATTGAGATCCGGAGGGCTGATCATACGCTTCAGACTGTCTGCGAATAATTGTGGCTGCTTGTGTTGCGGCTGGAAAATGCCGGGACTGCGAAGACGGATTCTCAAATTGGTGATCACGCCGTTCTGGGGAATACTCTTCATGAGCTGCCGACTCGCAACATCCCGAACGCAGACTTGCTTATCCTTACCGCCAAAAGGCCTGAGTCTCGTCCTCCTCCAGGTGGAATTCCTGTAAACAACCATGATTAACCATGATGTCATTTTTATTGGAGTCACTCACCTTCATCCGTGGCGCTCGCCAATTGTGAAACACAAACGCCTTGCTAGTCTCCATCCTATTGACAACCACGCTGTGCAGTGCTACTGGGAACACAATGCTGAGGAGCATGATGCCACCGCTCAAGTCATATACGTTGCAGCAGCGGTCTAGGGACACTGTGTATAGGTAGGAGCCTCACTGCCCTCCTGGCTGCCATTGTCCAGCGGTGCAACTGAGAAGGTGAGATCCGGTACGCGCCATCTGGAGATAGGCCAGACGTGGAGCAGAGGCTTCATTGTGTTGGCTGCCAGAATATAATTCAGCCCAATCATAGCCAGACTGTGGCGTTGGGCATTTCCTCCGCCCCTCCGCCCCTCCGCCCTCACTCTATCAAAGAAAAAATAATGAAATTATCAATGAAATAATGAAACGCAGTTATCGTTATCAATGAAAATAATGAAATTATCAATGAAATAATGAAACGAGTTATCGGTATCAATGAAACTATCAATGAAAAAATATTTTTATAAAGTCACTGCTTGACACGTCATGTTCACGTCAAGGGCGAATGGCAAAAACCTCAATCATTCTGTCAAAAAAAGTGAAAACAAGATTATTCCGATTTTGTATATTTAATTGTAGAACTAAATACAGTTATTTAGGTTAAACATTAAAGCATTTAGAGGCAGCGCCAGCACTAGATAAAGTTGATCTTTAATCATGGGTATGCACAGGACAAGCAACACACTGCAATTCCATCCCCAAAAATCTGGGGGCCGGTGACGATGAGTCGTCGTCCCGTCTGTCATAAAAATAAAAAAAATATTGTTTGCAGGTGGGGTGCTAAGCTACTTTCGCGGACTGCTTGGCTCCAGGGAGATGCGCATATTGATACTGGGGCTGGACGGCGCTGGCAAGACGACGATCCTCTACAGACTGCAGGTGGGCGAAGTGGTGACAACGATACCCACGATTGGCTTCAACGTGGAGCAGGTGACATACAAGAACCTCAAGTTCCAGGTCTGGGACCTGGGCGGACAGACAAGTATTAGGTGAGTATGCCGCCAGCCGAAAGATAAAACCCAGACGAGTGAAAACCAGAGATAAAACCACGTGATCGTGATTGTTGTTTTCTAGGCCCTATTGGCGTTGCTATTACAGCAACACGGATGCTATTATATACGTGGTGGACTCGGCGGACCGTGATCGGATTGGCATTTCCAAGGACGAGCTGCTGTATATGCTGCGCGAGGAGGAGCTGGCCGGAGCGATACTCGTTGTCCTGGCCAACAAACAAGACATGGAGGGGTGCATGACCGTGGCCGAGGTGCATCATGCGTTAGGGCTGGAGAACCTTAAAAATCGCACATTTCAAATATTCAAAACATCCGCCACCAAAGGCGAGGGCCTGGACCAGGCCATGGACTGGCTATCCAACACTCTGCAGAGTCGTAAATAGTTCTCGTAATCAAGTCACACTCCCCATCCCCCAGCCCCCAGCCCCCTAGGCCGCCACCTACCCCTGTGTAAAAATATTTATCCAAAGCGTCGCCTGCTAAGGATTCGTCTACAGCTTTTTTTCAATTTTGCAAATTCGCGCAGAGAAATCCAAGAAACGAAACGAAAGAACTTTGTAATAACTTCTAGTAATATAATTATTAAATTATAGGATTAAACAAACCACAAAATTTGTATGCCCCGGGCCACGGGTACCGGCTACCATTCGGCCAGGCCAAATCTCAGCACACGCTTCTCCTGTGTGTCCAGCTCCATGCGCACCTTCTGTCTCATGTAAAATATGGGACAGTCGCGGTTCGAGCAGATGACCTCCTCGTGCAGCGATCCCTGACAGCGCTGGCATTCGGTCCAGAGGCGGGCAAAGGTCTCCTCGAGCCCACGCTTGGCACCCACCTCCTTCTGGTAGAGCTCACTCATCCGCGGCTCACAGTGCGGGCACAGGCACGCCTTCTCATAGCCCTTGGGCATCAGCGTTTTGCAGCCCAGGCACGCAGTCTTTTTGGTCATGAATCCGGCCAGGCCGCCCACCTTCGAGGTGACCACAGTGCGGGTGCGCGTGTGCTCGCCCTTGAGGAGTATGGACTCTGCCTTCTCCCCTAGGATCGGCTCGAATATCCTCAGCAGTGGCTTGGAGAGCTGCTGCTCCAGATAGTATGTGGCATCGATGGGCACGCTGTTCTCCAGGACATACAATGGATCCTCGGCCTTCTGATAGGCTGGCGTATTCTTGGCCGCCGCACAGATCACATAGGGAACGCGATCTCCCAGCTTGGGCGCAGTGCCCGGATCGCGCTTCTTCATTTTGGCGGCCAGCTCCACATGCGCCTGCTTGGCCGCATAGTCTGTCTTGGCCAGCTCCTTGGTGATGACCAGCTGGGAGATGTCAATGCGATTGCAGAGCAGATCCGCAATCACCTGCTTGACATAGGTGACGGCGCCGTCGGGATCGCGCTCAATGAGCAGCTTTTGCAGGCAGGTGTTCATCAGGTTGGCCACCAGCGGCGAGTTGTCCCGCCGCACCGTCTCGATGCCCTTGCAGTCCATCTTGTCGTAGGTCTCTGGCCGTGTGAAATACAATCCAGCGTAGCGCTTCTTGTTGATCAGCAGGTAGGGATAGTAGACCTTCTCGAATTCCAGCTTTATCGGATGAACAAACTTGGCACTGACCAGCTCGGCCGCCTCCCTGCCCAGCTCCATGCTGCGCTCCAGCGTCTTGACGCCGAAATTCACCATCACAGAGTCCGTGTCGCCGTAGATGACGACGGCATCGTTCTCGTAGCCATTTGCACGGGTGTAGTGAGATTCCACTTCGTTCTTGGTCAGTTCTATCATGGTTCTGCCGTAGGCTGTGACACTGCCGGAGATCTCCAGGCATGGCAGCTTGCCCACTTGGGCACCGGTGAAACCGTACACAGAGTTGGCTGAGATTTTCAGTGCCAATTGCCGGCCATCGAGGACCTTGCGCTTGAATGGGTCCGTCTCCACTTTTAGGTCATTCTTGGCCCGCTTTCGGGCAGCCAGCAGGGACTCTAAGATCTCTGGCAGCAGACCGCGACGCACCTCCGACTTGACAAAGTAATTGTTGGCCGGCGTGCGCTCCACTTGATCGTCCTGCAGGCCATCCTTCTGCCGGAGCTTCTCCCGCGTTCCGCCCAGCACCAGGGTGGTGTAACAGAGATTGTGGGCCATCATTATGCTGGGGTACAGCGAGGCGAAATCCAACGTGGATATGGGATCGGCATAGTAGCCACGCTTCGGCTCGATTACCGTGGCTCCCTCGTACTGCTCGTCCGATCCCTGCGCCGTGTACGAGGGCATTATGTAGCCCTTGGTCTTGGCCTTGCGCAGCAGTTGGCTCACCACTTTGATCTGCTGTCCTCGGGTGAGCAGGCACTCCAGCGAGACGCCCGTTACCCTGGCCATCTCCATGTAGTTGACTATGGCCATGAGCTTCTCCAGCAGGCGGAGCGGCAGATACGCATCCTTGAGGCAGTACATGGCCAGGCGGCGTCGCGTCTGCTCGTCTCCGTTCTGCAGGTCCGTGATGATGCTGTGGTGCACATCCTCCTTCTGCTCCTGCAGGAAGTGGTAGCTGACCGCGTTGAGGGTGTACGAACGGAGTTTATATTCCCGCAGCAGGACGAACAGCAGATCGAAGGGCACGCGGCCCTCGAAGTTCACATACTGATTCTCCCGCCGACCCATTTGCTTGGACTGCAGCACCTGCTCCTTGATCACGGACCGTATGTTCTTGATCCGGCCCAGATACTCGAAATTCTTCACCTTCAGGTGGGCCGCCCGATTGATCAGGTAGGGAATGTCAAAGTTGTTGATGTTGTAGCCGGTGAGGATGTCCGGATCCACCTCGCGCACAAACGCGGACCACTTGTCCAGCATCTGGTGCTCCTTGTCGTGGCACAGCACCTGGCTGCCAATGATGGGGGCACACACATTCAGGGTGAAGACATTGCGTATGAAGGGCTCCGGCTCGCCCTGCCGTATGACCATGTTGGCGATCTGTATCACGGGGTCCATTTTGGCCTCCGGGAAGATGCCCTTGCGGCCAGCGCACTCAATGTCAAAGGAGAGGATGCGGAACGGGGCCACCTTGGACCATTCGCCCTCGGGTTCGTGGGAGATGAACCTGTCGAAGGCCACATCCACCTCAATCTGACAGCGGGACTCGGGCAGTGGCTTGCTGTTGCCTCCCCTCAGCCGCCAATGGCCCTGCGGCAGCTCGATCCAGTTGCAGCCCACCACGCCAGTGTCCACCATGAAGCGTATGTCAAAGTCGATGTTATTCTCAAAGGCGCGACAGTCCTGGAAATCAATCTCGGCCATGATCACCTCCTTCTTGAGCAGACGCGAAGCGGCGGCCACAAACCGCGGCAGTGTCACCGTAATCTTGATGTACCTTTGCTTCTGGTCCCCGTTGTAGCCATGAATGTTCAGCTTCTCCACCAGCTCCACCATCAGCACTGCCTCCTGGACATTATCCTTGTTGTTGCGTATATCGGCAATGGTCTTCTGGTCCAGCGCCTTTTGCAGCTTCTCGCAGTGATATTCCTCGAAACTCGTGGGGGCTTCGATATAGAAGTACGGACAGTAGCCGTGCACATGACAGCACACCGAATTGCCCTGCATCGTCACGCCGAACATACGCACCACCGGCACAGGTCCCAGCTGTGCGCCGGGCATGCCAGGCAGCGGCTGGCCCAGATAGTTCTCTACATCCAATTGCTGGAACTGCAAGTTGTCTTTGCTGGGATCCAGTTTCGGTGGGTCAGGCCGTGACCATCGCTCGCTGGTTTGCTGATTCTCGGGTCCATCGCCCAGGAGCAGGGTCTGGTCCAGCTCTTCACTGTTTTCAAAGGCTGCCAGCTCCGCCTCGAAGTCCATTTCCTCATCTTCGTCGGGATTCCTGAGGCCCAAAGAAATGTTTGACTATGCATTTCACAACCTCGCATTGACGCTCACCTGGGCTTCTTGGCCTGGCCATTGGTGTTGTTGTTAAATTTACGCTTGGCGTCCATAATAAATGGTGTATGTGTATAAATAAAATAAACTCATGGAAGTGCGCAAAATTGATGCCAAAAAATAAGGCGGGCGCCAGGGCTACAAAACCGTAATAGAGTTGCCGTACTCGACTGTGGAAGTACTGCCCTGAAATGTTGCAGCGTTGCCGTACTCGATTGCGGAAATACTGCCCTGAAAATGTCTAACGGTTTTTTAAAGTGCTATGACTAGCTGGAGAAAATAAAAGATGTTGAAAAACTACGTCACGAGTGATTTTTATGGTTCTACGATCCACAAAGGTAAATAGGACATATCAAATGCTCTACCACCAGCAACTACATTTTGCATCCAACCTTATCCAACCTTTATCCTTTATCCAATGCATGGATCGGATCATTCGCGTTGAATGAAGCGTCATGAAGGCGCAAGGCGAGTTAAGTGGGATTGTTTGATAAAATCATAAATAATGTTTTAATGGAGCTTGGAACAAAACATTTAACACTAATTAAAAGAAATAAGGTATACAAAAGTACATACGCATAGAAAAAACTTGGTTGACCAGCAACACTGACGTCACATTTAGTCAACATTTACGTTTTATGCTTTGGCCGTTTTTGTTTGAGCCTTAATATGCGAATAATGCAATAAAAAGGACTTCTGAAAACTTGACAATCTTGTAGAAAATTTATGTATCTATGGGATAAAATTACTTGTTTAGGGCTGAGACTCCCAGCTAGCTAGTAATATTAAACGGAATAGCAAAATCGAGGAATATCAACGTTGAATGTTTTGAAAAAAACAATCGATACTATCGTAATAGTATCGGGCTGAAATAATTATTAAAAAACCATTGAAACCTTTTAGGAACTTGTCCATTGTTAAAATTAGATGCCACCTGTCGATTTGTTTACAAATGTGTCTTCGTATTTTAGCAGCCAATCCAAACATATCAAAAGCGCAACGACTGTAGCTCGATACTATCATGATAGTCGCAAAACCGTCGATAGTAGAGGCTAGCAGTAAAATATCGATACTATCGATAGTGCCCTCGATGGTTTGACACCTCTAATCAAACGCATTAAATTAATATAAATAAATTCAGCTCGGGTGTCCCATGGTCCTATGCGTGGTTCATAGTGGGAAAAAACAAGCAGCTGCCTGCAGGATTAACTGAAATGACAAGGTGGCAGTGAACAACTTGAACTACCTGACCGAGCATTGCCTTGCCTGGTGGGGGTGTCGTCCGTCTCTTCTCTCCTCGCTCTGCCATCCGTCTCTCTCTCTCGCACGCGTTGTATTGGCAGGAGGGGGATGGTTAATGTTACGAACGTATAGAAGTGAATCACATTTTAAGGAATAATCGCAAATCATGTACCAAAGCGCCTGCAATGCGGCCACAACGGGCTCTTGTGTTCCTGGAGCAGGCAATCAGACCGATAACGAAAGGCAGTCGGCATTGATTGCCCAGCAACCACCCACCGCCCCAGTGGAGCCCGATTACAGTGGCTTCGATATCGTTAAGGCCACCCAGTACGGCGCCATAGCCAGGGTCCGGGAGCTGGTCGAGTCTGGCTGGGATGTGAACCAGCCGGATAGCGAGACGGTCACGCTCCTCCATTGGGCGGCGATCAACAATCGACGGGACATCATCAGGTACTTCCTGGAGAAGGGCGCCACCGTAGATGCCGTTGGGGGTGAGCTGAATGCCACGCCCCTGCACTGGGCCACCAGGCAGGGGCATCTGGGTGCCGTAGTCCTGCTCATGGCCGCCGGTGCTGATCCACGGATACGGGATGCGGAGGGCTGCTCCTGCATACACATTGCAGCTCAGTTCGCCCACACCGCCCTGGTGGCCTACTTCATAGCCAAGGGCGTGGATCCGGATCTACAGGATAGGGGTGGAATGACGGCGCTTATGTGGGCAGCATGGAAGGTGAGTGGCGTGGATATACTCTGGCATTCCCTTCATGACGACCCTTGACCCACTCTCAATCATTCAGGTGTGCGCCTTGGATCCCGTGCGCTTGCTGCTCACCCTCGGAGCCAATCCCGCCATGGTGGACTACACGCATGGCAACACAGCCTTGCATTGGGCCATCCTGGCACGCAATGCCACCGCCATTTCCACACTGGTGCTCAAGTCGAAGGCCTCGCTGGACGTTCCCAATATGCGGGAGAGACGCCGCTGACGATGCTCGAGTCTCAAACGGGCGCCATCTGGATCGGGGCCAAGGTAATGGATCGCGTGCGAGAGGCAGCGCTCACCTCACAGCAGCGACGCTCGCTGGTGTCCAAGCTGCGGCACGACAAACGCTTGCGATGGTGGTCGATGGTGGCCTGCCCCTTCACCGCCTTCTATCTGGCAGGGATCGTGTTCACCCTGAACACGCTGTATATCATTAAGTTTTTCCTGCTCGGCTGCTTGTACGGCATATTCCACACCATTGGCAAGATCCTCTTCGATGAGCACCTGATGGCCCTGCTCCCGTTGAGCGTCTACCTGGCCACCAAGGCGTGGTTCTATGTCACCTGGCTGATGTATATCGATGATGCGGTCTCCCTAACAGCCACTGTATGCTTCCTACTCTGCTCCCTGATATTGTGGGTGTGCTTCCTCAAGTCGTGGAAGGGAGATCCCGGCATCATCCGACCCACCAGGGAACAGCGATTCAAGGTGAGAGCTCTGGCATATCCCTACAATTCGTTTACTGAACTCTTTCTGAACTCTTACAGACCATCATTGAGCTATCGGAACGGGGTGGCATTGGTTTTGAGCCCGCCTCCTTTTGCTCCGGTTGCCTGGTGAGGCGGCCCATACGCTCCAAGCACTGTTCGGTGTGCGATCGTTGTGTGGCAAGGTTCGATCATCATTGCCCCTGGGTTGGCAACTGCATTGGGCTGAAGAATCACAGCTTCTTCATGGGATTCCTCTGGATGCTGCTGATCATGTGCGTCTGGATGCTCTACGGCGGCTCCAAGTACTATGTGAATCAGTGCAATGTGCACTTTGATGGTGAGTCTAAAGTCGAAATTCTCTTATCGGATTCAACCATTACGTTCATTGCAGACTTCGTTGGGGCTATGCGAGCGATTGGCAACTGCAATGCCTGGGTGGGCTGGGTTATGGGCAATGCCCTGCTGCACATGTCCTGGGTGATTCTGTTGACCATTTGCCAGACATATCAGGTGATTTGCCTGGGCATGACCACCAATGAGCGCATGAACCGTGGACGCTATCGTCACTTCCAGGCCAAGGGCGGGCACAGCCCGTTCACGCGCGGTCCCATCCAGAATCTTATTGACTTTTTGGAGTGCAGCTGCTTTGGCCTGGTGCAGCCGAAGCGTGTCGATTGGATGAACTACTACGACTATGATGCCAGTGAGCATCCGACCATCGAGAAGGAGCCGCTGCTCAGCGTGGACTGCCCGGACGGGATGGGTGGCGATCATCAGTATGTGTAGGATAAGTCCTATCGGGATGCGAAGACGCTTCAAATGCCCATAGCGCATGTCTAACGACGGAACTGCTTTCGAAAACAAACCGCAACAGCTTCTTCTCAACCCCATCCCTAAACCCCCTACCCAACCCCCTTACCCATTCCGTATGATTTCCGAAAACCCCTTGTAATTGGTACGCTCTGCTGCAAGCTATACAACAAAAAATAGAACCAACGATTCACAACTGAATTCTACAAACAAAACCAGAAGACAGACAGAAGCGTCATTGCCGACCGATATCGGATATTGGATGGATGAAGAGTGGTTTATGGGGGGACGGGACCCTCACTCCCCTCCCCCCACCACATACATACGTACATATTAATGCATGTATTACTGTAATTACTCTGTACATTTCTGCATATTAATTCTGCATCTTACACACACAAAAACACGACTACACTTTGATAATAAGCTGAAATTACTCCGCGCGAACCGACACGATTTTGTCCCCTCTCAAGTATTTGTAATACCAAAAAAACAGAAAGAGAAAAACAAGAAAACGTATGAAAAGAAACACCGAACAAATGCAATACCTAATCTAAAAACTAAATGCAATATGAATCAAAACGAAAGCAAAATTTTAGTTAAGCGTGCAATATTCAAGATTCCAATTCAACTAATAAGATATTTAACAAATTTGTGAAGCGCACACCACAAACCACAACTGAAAAAGAAAACACCAAAAGAACTTTATACGAGTAGATATCAAACACACACACACAAAGTAACCCATATTTGTATTCTCTTTGAAGCTGAACCTGTGCGAAGTTCCCCGTTTCGGGGGAGTCTCAAATTATTAGGAAAATGTAAAGTCTTAGTCAAAAGTGTGTAATTAATTGTATTTGCATTTGGGAACTACTATATTTCAGCGGAAGAGGCTCTCTAGGGAAACTTCGCATAGGGTAAGGCTATTCCCAAGCACCCAAGCACCCTAGCATACTTAAATAACAAATTCTAAATGCGATCCGATTCTAATAATGCACTAGTCTAGTCAGAAAATCATTTAAGTGAAATGTTTAAGTGCAACAACAGCCACAAAAATCGATACAAACAAAAAAGAATATTGCGTATATGCCAATATGTATATCAAAATATGTATATGTAGCTATGAAATTAAATATTTATATTTATAATGTATGCATCTCTAATACGGTGCGGGGAAGAACAAAAGGAATTTCAGCAACCTGAGAGCACGCAAAAAAATAACGATCTGTTTCGCAACACGTTACTTAAATGCATTTAAAATTAATTCAAAACGATATCTACAGCAAAGCAAATCTAATGTTGAATCCTTCAAACAACAGCAAACATTTTCAACTATTGTATGGTACTAGAAAATATTGATATATAAAACAACACAACAATAACTTTTTCAATGTATTTTATATTTGAGATTATACAAAACGAAGACGAAAAAGACGACGATGATTACATATGATCGGAAGATGATGGTGTGCTGGGCCCCGATCACAGTACGATTTGCTATGAAAGTTATTTGTTTAGAATTGATTTTTGTATATCCTTCTCGCGCTCGTTTAAAAAAGCTTTGAAAAGACTACTATAAGCAACAAAAACAAGTACTAACATCAAGCCACATCAAGGCGCATTAATAATCGAGTTTAAGTGCTTTCTGGCCTCAATAAATGGCCAACATCAAAGCCCCATTGCCTACATCTTTAGTTTAGCAGCTAAGTTCAAGACAAATATATATACAAATAAAACGAAGATATATGATATATTATATATCTTTATATACATATATAAATAAATGTGAATGTATTAAATAGTGTGTAGAACGATGAAAATTGTGAGACCCACGAGGTGTCTTGTCTGTATGTATGTATGTGTAATAATGTGGCGTTTAAAACAAATTTAAATAATATTAAACTTTATTCCGTATTCGAACAACAACAAAAAAAAACAAATATGGATGTGTATTTTAAAGGGTTTTTGATAGCTTTAATAGAATCGGCACGCACACCAATAAATTTTCTGCAGTGCGATTTTGTGCGTATACAGCATGGAAATCGGATCATTGTATTGGACCAACCACTGTACTACACGTGTGCGTGAGCGGCAGAGCAGCAGCACAAAAGATAGGGCTGTGCCGAGCCCGGCGTATACTTACAATGGAAGCTCTATGTGTGTATAGCTACGAGTAGTATGGGGAATATACTATATATGGTTTCAATGCCATGCACTAGAACATGTTTGATCTATTATAATGAAACTCGAATTAGATTGGGTTTTATTATTTTTTTTTATTGTTTTGATGACATAATATTCTGTAGAATTTAAATTGTTTCTTTTTTTTTCGTTTAATTTTGTTTTTTGTTGTCGACATTGATGCATTTATAGGATCCTTTTTTTAAAAATAGGCTTTGTTGTTGCTTTTTTGTATGATAAATTAAGTTGAATGGTGGTTTTATCCTTTTGTGTGATTTTTGCTTTTGAATTATGTTTATTAAAAGTAAAACATTTAAATATATATATGCAATTATTAAAACACACACAATTATCGATCGCATTTTACACTTAGATTTCGTGATTAGCTTGAATCCGTTCTTACATCCATCGTTATATTTTAGCAGCAGGTGTAAATGATATACAATATATAGTTATTCTTGCTTTATGTATACATAAAATTACTTGCTTCGATTGCAAATCATATATATGAGAATATAGCGCGTTTGCAACGTGCCAAATTTTGTATATATGTATTTTGCTTTGATTCATTATTTTACTTTTTTAGTTTTATAGAAAATTAAAAAAACTCAAAGGCCTATGCACTAAAGAAAAGAATTGTTGGGTTAGTTTAAGGAAATATATAAAGATATAAGATAGATATATAGATATAGTATATGCATATAGAGAAGAGGTTGAAGGTTAAAGGAAGAGTCTCGTCCAGGACTGTGGTCTGTGTGGTGTGTGGATCTGTTTCTGAAGAATGTCTGGGGCATAGCAATAGCGTCTTTGGTCTAAATAGATATATAATATATGTATCAGGTGGGATTTCGGCGTGGCCAGCTTGAGCTCAATATATACTATATATATATATATATAAAAATATATATATGTATGTATGTATGTATGATTTGTTTTTGGTCGGAGTTGAAAGAAGCTTTAGGTATTCCATTTTTCATCGTTTTGCACACAGAGAAAGTAGAGGAGTTGAACCGAAAAGTAGGTCAAAAGTATACATATATCGCAAGGCGTTTATGCGTAAGCGCACTTGACAAAGGAGGATGAGGGAGAATGTGAAAAAAATCGAACATAAAGTGGTTAAAATATATATAGCCCTCCCCCTGTCGCCCTCCGCTCCCTTCGTCCTGCCCCCGCCTCCTCCCCCTCGTCCCTCCCCGGTGCGCTCCCGCCCCCTCTCCCGCTCTCTATATACATATATATATATATACTCGCACTCGTATGTATAATCCTTTAAGCTTAGAAAATTGGTTGCTAACTGAGCTTGGGCGTGGCACAAAGGCAGGAATTTGAATTTACATCAAGATTTTGATAGCGAAGAATTCACAATTCACGGAAAAAGGGGATTATGTATGTTCGAAAAATGTCATCATAGAAATTCCCGATTTTGTGCCACAGAGAAGCGCAGTTGGGGTTTGTTTCTGTTAACTACGGTCTCGCCGCAGACTCTTTAGATGCCTTTTAGATCGATCTCGGGATATCATTATCTTATCCGCTTTTACCCTCCAGCACTGCAACTAAAACTCGTTTATACGTGGGGCCCCAATCCACAGCGCCCCACAACCGACACTGCCGCCTGCCAGAGACATTTCAGGAAACCAGATTCTGAATCAGAGCCATCTCCGATCGACCACCAACACGTGACATTTGGAGTGCGGCAGAGAGTGCAGTGGTAGGAAGTCCACGCATAAACGATCTATCAATAAATATACCAAATATTTATACATTATACATGCCTTAGTGCCTACGAACGCATGTGTAGACACATGCCTTAAATATAGTATTTCTATATATATATATATATATATATGTATTGTATATATAAATTTCTTTTAGTACACATATTAAATATTTTCTTTTAAGTTTTTTTTTCTTCCATTTTTTTCTCTTTGTTTTCTTTTTGTTTTTCTTCTTTTTAATAAAAAATATATATATAAATATATGCTATTTTGAATTTGATTTTATCTCTCTGCTCATATGTATAGTTAATCATCTTTTTTCTTTTCTTTGTTATTATTTTTATGCATTTAAATCTTTTTGCTTGCTCAGTTGGTTGTCCATTAAATACGCTTACAGATTTACATATATATAGAGTGTATATAAAAAGTTCAATGATTATTGGTTGGATTTTGGGAGTAGGTTATACATGGGGCTTATGCCTGGGCTTTAGTGTAGTGTACCCCTGCGATAGGGTACCGCGCACGCAAACGCAAGCAAGCAGAACATATCCAGCGATTAGCAATCGTTTCAAACACAATAAAAATATAATAATAAGAGCAAAAAAAATAAAAATAAAACAAGAATAAATAACAATTGTGTAAGTTGGTGGGGGGGAAGGGAGTTGGTTTTCATACAAATTATAAAATATATATGTAGAATACATACATATGTATATGTTTATAAACTGAAGCCTTAAGCCTACGTTTGTCGAGCGGGATTGGTAGATAAGAGATGAGACTGAAGAAAGGGTCTGAGAAAAAGTGACTTGTGTGTGTGTGGTGCGGTGTGGTGTGGCGGGGGCATGGGCGTGTTTGTTTGCTTGCTTATATGCCGGCTTGGTCTTGTGTTAATATGTATAAACGTTTATCATATATTTATAAACATTAGTTCCCACTGATGTTACGTCTTTTGCAGCAGCTCGCTTTGTGGGCTGGGCGGACTGGGCGACTGTTGTTGCAGCATGGTCGGTGCAGACAGTGTGGTTGCCTGTGTAATAACTGTCGTGGCAGAGATGGTCTGTTGCTGTTGCTGCTGCTGCTGCTGTAGCTGATTGGGCGCCTGCTGCAGCTCCTGTGGATGCTGCTGCAGCTGATTCGTTTGATGATTGTTCAGCGGCTGATTTGAATTGCAGAGCACCGAATAGACGGAATCAACTTTGCTTAGCTTCTCGAAGAGCGGTATCAGTTCACGCAGTTCACAGTCGGTGACATCGTCGAACCAGGATTTTACAGGAACCTTAAACAGAACAGAATTAATAATTAATTAATCTTATGTATTATTTTTACATTTCGATTACTTACTGCATTGTCTGGATGAAATATATAACTGGCCGGTGAGTTGTCAACAATGACAATCTTTTGCAGATCACGACCCAATCGATTCAGATCCTTTATGTAATTACCCCTGTAATAAACGCACGATTCCCTAAACAGTCTTGCACGAAACACATTCCATCTGTAAAGTCAAGTATTATAGAGTTTGCATTAACGATTGTATCCTTGGCATTATCCCTGCCATTTCTACACTCACTTGTCTAACAGATCTGCTACGGGATCTGCATATTTGGCTAGTGATGCTGTAAACAAAACGCACTCGTACAATTCGCCCATCTTCTGCAGAAACTCATCCACATGCGGCCGCTTCAGAACGTACACCTGATGTACGGTTCCATCGATCTCCACGGGTACTATGAAATCTGCATTCGGTATGGGCTACAAAACAAAACACGATTAATCTATCATATGCATCTATGCACTGATATATGTGTGTAGGAAGACTCACCTTAAAACTACTATGCACTAGGGTCTCATCCAAGTCGATAACCATGCACTTTCTGTGCATATCGGTGAGCCTAACCTGAGGTAGTAGGTACCTTTGTTGGTCCTGTAAAGGTGGCGGTGTTGTCGAGCCATCGATTTGTGTGCCATTCTGATTTGTTTTTGTTCGATTTCGTCGCCAGCAGCAGAGCAGAGACTGAATAAATCCACGCTTTTGTGGCTTTAAGCGTTCCACATCGTCTGTGGATTATAGGGAAACAAACAAAGAGGAAATAGATTTATTAGTAATCTAAAATAATCCTTTTTTAAATGAGATGCCAAGAGAACATCTATTAAGAAATTCCTTCACATTTTCAATAGAAAACTTCCTGCCTCAAGTGTTTGCCGATCAAGTTCATATACATATTTATATAGAAATACCTTATTAAACTGTTTCCAATCAAGTTCATATGCATATGTAGGTAAATATAGAAATTCCTTGAGATTTTCTTTATGGCTCCATCAATTTAAATACAAATTCCACGCCGGCGTTCCATAAAAACTTCTCGTCGACTGACTGACTGACTGACTGACTCTATATTTAAGGCCCCGCCGCAGCACACAAAACGCCCACTAATTTTTCACATTTACGCGTACATACACACCCTATACTATAGTGTGTATGTATGTATTTATTTTCATTCCTTTCATTTGTATCTCTTGTTTGTTGCTTTGGCTGGATTACTATTTACGGATTTGCAGTTCATAAAGGCATAAACATTTCGGTGTGTGGCTAAAAATTAGCATAGAACAAATATAGGTCTATTCCGAATTATATTCTATATCTGGTGGTTAATACTTCAGTACTACATGCAATGCAGATAGATAGTTTGCTTTTCGTGTTTATTTGTGCAAAAATGTTTAAAAATAGAAGTCAAAGGCAGAATATTGTACAAGACAGAGCACAAAGCAACAGTGGGTGGGTGGTGGATGGTGGGTGGGGTACGTGGGCGTGTGCCTCGTACAAAATGCGTTTAATCGATGGGAAATTGCTATAATTGCATGCAAAAGCACACACAAGGAGCTAGCCAGAGGGGGAGAGGGAGATAGTTGGTTGCAGATTGAAACGATAGATAGATAGAAGGTCACAGGTTGACCTTTAAGCAGACGCCAACCTTTTGCGAGGGGATGGCAGGTCCGCCATTTGCATTGTGTGCCAACAAAAGGAAACAGCAGTCAAACATCACTTAGCAGAGAAAACAAGCCTCAAGTGTAGCGACATACCGTAAGAGGGACTGGGAGGGGAGAGAGTGTGGAATGGAATAGAGGGTGCTGTGCTGCTCGAGTGGGTGGAATGCAGAAGCGCAAGAGGGATAAGAGATGACTGCCTTACAGCTCTTCTGCAGCTCTAAGCCAAACGTAACGGTTCATTGAACCGTTAGCCAAGTGAAAACTAAGCTTAGGATGTGACGACGAGCTTTTTTTTTTGTGTTCTTGTTTCTCTTTTCTTTTCTTCTTAGTGTTTCTCTATGTTTTTTGTAGCTCTTCCTATTTTTCACCCCATCCTTGCCACCCCAAATGCCACGCCGACTGAAGTGCAGATGCACTTGAATATTTTATGAGCGTGCTGTTGCCGCTGCTTTTGCAGCATAATGAAAGCTTTTTCTTTTCCCAGCGTCTGGCATGCATGTAATTACCCTCTCAACCCTTTGCTTTTACGGGGCGGAGGAAGAAGGAGAATGAACCCTCAACTTGTTGAAACTCTGCTGTAGTACAAGGTACAAGTACGGGTAGCTATATAGGTATAGAGTCCTTGCTAATTTTATTGACAGCCCCCACCATCTATATTTGGGTCGCTCTGATGGATGCGGGCAGGCAACACCTTCGTCAGGCCCACACCACCTTCACCCATCGAAGCCAAGCACCTATCCAATCAACCCGAGAACGGCGAGCGACCAACCCACATCACATCACATCCATTCACATTATACACTCAAATAGGCTTTTGGCCTATTTTTAAGGTGTTTCAAGTAAACTGTGTTGTTGAAAAATGCTTCAGCTGACTGTACGCGGCGTGTGGGCTGTGTGTGTCCCCGTCTCCGTCCCCGCCCCCGCCGTCGCATTCCTTTTGTTCTTTTTCCGCAGACGATATATTTAGATGACCATATTTATAGATCATTATTGGAGCAACAATCTGTCACGTCTCTATGAGATTCTAGTTTAATAGACAGCCAAATATGGGCACAAATATGCGGAACAGGCCAAGTGAATTAATGTGCGAAATAAAGTTTATGAAAATAAAAGGAATTTCATTTGATCGAACAAAATGACAATCGTAATGTTTAGATTTGGAAAGTGGGGAAGATCCAAGCGAATCGAATAATAAACTACATACATATATCGAATAATTCAAGTACTACATATGTAGCTCCATTCTTACCAATAGCAAACCAACAAAATAAAGGAATAAGTTCATTTTTTGGGGGTCACTCCCATAACCAATGCCAATTCAAATACCCTTGAAAGCAACTCACAATTGCTTTAAGGCAATACGAGAGATTAAATCACAGATTTATGTAAAACGAGCAGAGAAAACAACCAAACCAAACCAAACCAAGAATCGCTACATTAATTTATGCAAATTTAAATCCTTATCCGCTAGACTGTTAAACGGCCTTACGCGTCAATTGAATTGTGAGTCCACCAGGACAACAGACAACATAAATATATGTATATCCACTGATGTGGAACGCGGCATTGAGAAATATTCGAAAGATTTTCTTTTGTTATAATTTATATATTTTTCTTTTTGACAAGTTTCTTCTGTTTCTGTTGGCGGGCAAGGTCTTGTCGTGAGATAAGAAGGGGCAGAGTGGGGGCAGCGGCAACATTTGATAATTCATTTAAAGCAAATAAAACAAAAACAAAAAACCTGGAAAAAGAATTCATGTGAAATCAAGAGCAGAGCACATACATCGCTTATCTAATCAAAATGTTTGTTATCTCGAAGAGAGAAGGGGCCAGGCCACATTATGATATCATTCTCGAAGCCAACTCCAACGGCAAACAACAAATTTTCGACCTTCAACATATTTATGAAGCTTTTTTCTTCAAGAAACAGCGACAGCTCGGAATTAAAGCTGAACAAAACTAAAATGGCACGTGATATAATAGGTCTATACTCGTACATATGTATGTATGTGTTTGCGTCTGAATATCTAGAGAAACACCTGCCAGACAAGGGGGAAACTACCTTAGCATTATAGCATCCGAATCGTTGGTCTTTTTTGGGGGTTGGCCCTTTATTTAACCCCCCGAAATGTGGTTCAATGAACCCCCCATCGTATCAGTTATACAGATAAAATCTCCATATACAGAACTCGTGGTTGACCTTTATCGATTTGATGAAAAGTAGAAACGTTTTAGCTTGCATTGTGTGGCTATTTATTTCCTATATATGGGAAATACTTATCCCCTGAGGCAATCGAAAATCATTTTGCACGCAGTCCCCTGCTCATATAAGCCGTATATAATATTATTGTTCAATAATTATGCCGCCTCGCAGTGCTCGGGATGCTGCATCTGTTGTGTGTCTGTTTCGTGAACCTCTCATACCAGTTTTGTAGCAGATCGACATTGGGATACGCTTTTGGGAATACATAAATTACAGAAATATGAACAGTAGCTGATTCTAGCTGATTTCCTTGAAAATAACTAGTAATAACTGGGTAAAACCCACTCTTTCTATACCGAACACCATTCATTCCGTTTCAATTTTATGCCACTGTGCATTATGCTCGAGCACTTTGAACCCGTTTCGCATTCGTTTATTTAACGTTTTGCTGTTATTTATAGATCTGCCAATTAATGAATAAAATGATAAACTTTTCGAGCATGGGCGGATGGGGAATAAAGGGCATTAGAGTGAAAAAAAAATCAAAATTAAAAAGAAACAAAAACGAGGGGGGAAAACGCGCTGTCTGTCTGTGTATGTATGTGTAGGGGGGGAATATGGGTGTCGTTGAGGCTGCTGGCTGTGTGCGTGAGTAATTTGGCTTTAAAGACCTTGAGAAAATTGAAAAATCACAGCAATACAGCTAAAACAGCGAGAAATGAGATACTACGAGAGCGTTGCCCATAAAAACCATATAGATAGGTTTATACATATGTGTGTGGAAAATATATAAATGTACGAGTATATATACATACACATATATATAAATATTTATACACGGTGAGGCAAAAGCACTTAGAGGCGGTGGTGGTGGCACCCACTCTGAAATTTTGTATTAAAAAAAGGAAAAACATATTTCAACTGTTGCTCTCTGCCGGTCTGCTTCTAATGCTGGGCTCTTCACACCCACACCCACACGCACGCACGCCTGGACAGACCAATACAGCTGTGTTGACGTCTGCGTCTCTCTCCACTCTCCCTCTGCGCCTAGCAGTCTGTTGCTTTAAGCTCAACAAGTATGGATGAGAAAAACTGCCCCCAAAGACCCTATTTGGGAGCATCAACTGCAATGGGAACTTGATTTGAACAAGAAATCTGCTTTAAACCAAATTTATGATGTGGAAAAGACATATTGATTGGTTGTACGGGTAAAGTGAAAGAAAATACATTTCATTTGCGCCAAATTGGCAGCCCCGGCCGATCAAAAGTGGGCAAAGCAGCCAGCGAGAGAGACATCAATTAACACCTAACCGCAATTCGTACATATAAATGTATACATCTGTGTGTACATATATTTTGAACTGTACATACTTATGTACATATATGGCTTTGTACATATGAGACCGCAGATTAGATTAAATTTGTTATTACTTTAAGGCGTTCATCGAGGGTTTTTTTGCACTCGGGCCCCACCCCGCGGCCACTGCACTTAGCTGTTGTTCATAGTCGCCTGAAGCTCTCTTCCCTATGTTTACAGCAAGAGTGTGGTTGGAGCCTCTCCCGCTCTCTCTCTCTCTCTCTCTCTTTTTCTCACACCATTCATTCATTCATTCATTCTCGCAACCTTTAAGCTACACTTTTTTTGTTCGTCTCACGCTTTTGTTTGTTTGTTTGTTTGCATCACTAGAAAAATAAGAAATAAAACTAGTTGTGGGACGGGACTCCTCTCCATACCGGTTTTCCTCTTTTGTAAGCATTTCTCAGTGCTTTTCCCGTTTTTTTCTGCTGCTGTGCAATTTAATTGGCAGTTTCTATTGTTGGACTTGGGTCGCGCGCGCCTCTCCGAAAGTAAACATGCAAAGGGGAAAGGAAAATAAAAGGCTTTCGTGCATTCGACAAAGGCCATGACGTCACACGCATGACAAAGACGTCATCAATTGATTACAGGTGGAAGGTGGGGGATTGTGGGTTGTGTTGGGGGTTGTGTGAGGGCCAAGCGAGAGGTAGAGTTGCAACTGCGTCGCAAATAATTCGATAACTACAAACGAATGGAAGCTAGCAAGTGGTTAGATCATTCACAGTAGACAAGAGCGAATGGGAAGAGAGACATAGAGAGAGAAAAAAAAGTGAATACCAAAAAAGGGGGCGACATACATGTGCACATACACATATGTGAAAGGTCACTGCGGTGCGGGGACAAGTGTCCTTTGGGGCCGATTTCGTCGTCTTTGTTGTGACGCCTTTCGATTATTGATGACTCACGGAGACGACGACGACAACTGGCGACTACAATGCGTCGTTCCCATTTATTTTTTGGGGTTTTCGTTTTGCTCACCTTTATCATTCGGGTAGCTGGGATAAACATTCAGTTGCTCATCATCGCGGGACACTTGTGTGATTATTGATGTTGCATCCATTTAAGCACACAATTTTGGATGATGTTGCCTGGCTGGCTGGCAAAAGGTTGCAACTCTCTCTCACTTCGGTCTCCTCCTTGGCAGGTTGAACTGTGGGGAACGCTGCAACGATGTGGGTTGGCAATCATTAAAAAATCACTCGAATATAATTACGTTTTCTCTTTCGCACTCGTTAATTTTCTTGAGAAACTTCCATGTTTTCTTTATATAGAAACACTTGCCCACACACACACAGCCACAACACACACATTAATTTATATACATAGCACACACACTGGCACGCACACAACAGCAGGCTGTGCGGCCCAGACAGTGGAATTTTACAATTACGCTTTGGCAGTCCATTCGCTTTGCGTTTTGCGGCTCAGAATGCAAATGGCTCTGTTGGTTTTTCCCCTTTGATATTCACCTCTCGTTGCGGACAGAATGCACTTTCAAAAATTAATATTCCTTTTCGTAACGTTTGCTAAAAAACACTTTCTTTTCCGTTGCTCATTCTTTTTATTTTTCTTCGCGTCTGCTTTTCGCACGCAGCTTCTCAGCGTTTTATTTATAAACGCATACACGCACACTCACACTGCACTCCACACACAAGCACACGCACGCAGACACAATTCCTCGACTGCACTGCTGTTATTTTGATCTCGTTCTTTAGTTATTCGCCTTCGTATTGCTCGTTTTCATTTTATTTATTCGATCTAATTATTTAATTAATAAAAACAAAACGTGTACGGACGAAAAAAATCAAGATTGAAAGCGACTGGCGACACGGCCGGTGTGACCGCGGATTTATTGATGAAATATACCCTGACCCTCAGAGATAGCCGTTAAATACCGAAAGCGCATATTGTGGTATATTATGCAGGTAGATTCGTTCTGAATTTGGTCACACTTGGCTATATTGTTGTTACGCGAGCGACTTTTTTGCTTTAATTTCTAGCTCAATTTAATCAAAGAAATTGGCTAAAATGTTGTCTCTACGCAGCTCCCAGAGGCTGGGCTTACGGTAAGCTATAATTTGGATCAAATCACCGCCGTAGAATCATGAAATTAGCTGCTTTCACTTCAGTTCTTTGCTGCCGGCTGTTTACAAAAACGTGGGATTGGGCAACAACTATTCGTCCTCCTCGCAGTCCAAAGACGACGACGGCGGCTACTCCTCCTCCGACGATGAAAAGCCCAGGAAAAAAGCACCCAAGAAGCCAGAGGAGACAGCCGCCCAGCGCTTGAATCGCCTGCTTGGCACCATGCAGGCCACAGACCAAATTTCGACCGCCGATTTCCCACGTCCTGGCGATGCCAATCGTCGCCGTAAGGAGGCCTTGAAGCAGGACGCTGCCTCCAAGAATGTCCTTACGGCAGCCAAGAACATTGCCAGCATGCTGGGCACCAGCGAGAGTGACAAAAAGCAGACAGAGTCCGAGCTGCTGGCCAAACTGCTGGGCCATGGCCCAGAAGCTCCACCAGCGGTGAGGGGCGAGGCACAGGCGTCAGACACAGCAGCCAGCGGAGGTGGCGCCCCAGAGAAGGAGCTCAATCTGAGGTGAGTGTGCATCCGCATTGAGATTATCTGATCCCAAGTCCGCTCTCTCTCTTCCAGCGAACTGATTGTTGGCATGAAAATCGATCGTCGCCCGCAGCCGCAGCAGGTGGAGCAGACGCGTGGGGAGTATGTGCGGCGCACCATGGCCTCGCGCTCCAAGCATTCGGATCGATATCAGCAGCGGCCGCAGAGGCAAACAAAACGCGAGGCCGAATCTTTTACCGGCAGCGTCAATCTGTTTGGCGGCGAGCCGCTGGGCATCTTCAAGGAACCTCTCCCGATCTCAGGCGACATTCTCGCCACCTGGTCGCAGCTGAGCGAACGCGAGCTCAGCCTCCATGCTGCCCATCCGCCGGCAAACTACTTCGAGCAGATGGCCCTGTGGACGGAGCAGGGCAAGGTCTGGCGCTTTCCCATTGACAACGAGCAGGATTGGGTGGATGAGGTGAATGTGGACTTCTCGGAGCACATCTTTCTCGACCAGCATCTGGAGGACTGGTGTCCCAGCCGGGGGCCCATTCGCCATTTCATGGAGCTCGTGTGCGTCGGTCTCTCCAAGAATCCCTACGTGACGGCCCAGGAGAAGAAGGATCACATTCTGTGGTTCCGCGACTACTTCGAGGCCAAGAAGGACATCCTCAAGGATCTGATGGACAAGGAGCCCAGCAGCAAGAGCAAGAGTATTTCCGCTTAAACGCCGTCGCATTGTTGGAATATTTGTTAAAAATATATTTTGTTTGCTTTATAAGACGCGATCGAGACATATAGAGAGATATTTGTGTAGATATATATGCATATATATATATTAATTATTGTATATATGTATGTATGTGTGCGTGTGGAGAGTGGACTCTGTGTTATATATCCTGCGGGGTAGGGTATATAATCCTAATACTTCGAGACATTCGAGACGTGTGCTGCTGAGTGTGCGCGGAATGAGTAGCCGGAAAGGGGCTTCGGCTTCAGAAGAGCAGGATACGTTTCTCCACCGTCTTGCGGCAGATGGGGCAGCCCTCGATCTGGTCACCGCACATCTGGCAGGTGCCATGGCCACACAGGAAGACCATATTCTTGATGCGATCAAAGCAAACGGGGCACATGGTCTGCAAAACAACGAAACAAACCAAAATCGGATTAATCTTGCACTCCGTGGGACTCCTCTTTTGGGGGGCACTCACCTGCTCCTTGATGTCCTGCAGCTGCTGCTTGAGCTTCTGCACATCGTCCATTTGGAAGTTGTTGACATTGGATGGGGCCACCATGCCGCTGGCAGAGGCCAGATTCGAGGAAGCAGCTGCCGCCGCAGCGGCCAGCAAATTGTTCTGGCTGTTCAACTGATTGCTACTCCCAGCCACGGGCGTCACCACAGTGTTGTTCATGGCCACGCTGTGGCCGGAGGTGTTCACGCATGGAATGGCCGATGCCTCCATGAACTTCTCAGCCACCTCGGGCAGTGGGCAGATGAGCTGCGAGACGGCGGCGGTGGATGTGACCTTCTCTGGCCGCCCCATGCCGCCACAGCAGAGGTTGAAGGAGAGCATCTCGTCCACTTGGGTGCGACAGAGGACGCACTTCTTCATGAGGACACCGCAGTGCTCGCAGGCCACCATGTGGCCGCAGGGGCGGAAGAAGACGGCCGCCCGACGATCGGAGCAGACCATGCACTCGTCAATCTTCTCGCGGGAGGAGACTGTCTCGCGGCAGATGAGGCACTTCTTCACGCGCGGCGCACACGTGTCGCAGCAGCTGACGTGGCCGCAGGGCTTGAAGACCGTATCCCGCTTGGCATCCGAGCAGACCATGCACTCCTCCAGACTGGCGCCCGTACCCTTCGGGGGCTCCACATGCAGCGATTGGCTCATGTCCGAGTTGAGGCCATTCAGGCCGAACGACGAAGAAGACGCAGAGGCGGATGCCGCGTTGGCCAGCGGCAGACTGGCCGAAGACGATTGATGCATGATAGATCCACCAGGGGCACCTCCACCACCGCCGCTGGCACCACCACCACCACCACCACCAGCTGCTGCCCTGGCTCGGGCATTCAGGCTGGTGCCGGCCACATTTCCCGGCAACTCCGAGTCATCGGTCTTGCGCTCGTTGTAGCACTTGACGAGGGTCTTGCAGAGATTCGGATCTGGGCACAGATCCAATGGCGTTTGCTGCTTGCGATTCTTGAGCGTCAGATCGGCCCCGTTGGCGGCCAGAAAGCAGGCAATCGAGGCGGATGCCTTCTTGTTGTTGGCATTGCGCAGGCCCATCAGCAGCTTGCCGAATCCCTCCACGTCCTGGAGCTGCTTCAGCTGCGACAGTGTGTGATGGCGCAGTGCCTCGTGGAGGGGCGTGTCCCCATCCTTATCGGGTATGTTCAGATCGGCCCCGTCCTGCACGAGCAGCTTGACAATCTGCACATGCTGCCGCTCCACGGCTAGATGGAGGGCCGTCTGCAGGTTAACATTCTGCCTGTCCATGTTGGCCTTGCCCATGTGCACCAGCAGTTCGGCGATCTCCACGTGATTGTTGAGGGCGGCCAGATGCAGGGCCGTGTAGCCATCGTCCTTCTTCTCCTCCACAATCCACGGCCGATTCGTTTTGGTCAGCAGTATCTTCATGGCGCTGGGATTGCCCTTCAGAGCGGCATGGTGGAGGGCATTGAAGCCATTGTTGTTGTTCAGCGTGATGTCCGCCCCAAAGTCCAGCAGCAGCGAGAGCATCTCGTCGTGCTCCTTCGAGATGGCATCATGCAGCGGCGTATCGCCCTCGGAATCCTGCAGACTCGGATGACAGCCCAGAGTGAGGAGCGTCTTCACCACATTCAGATGCCCCTTGTTGACGGCTATGTGGAGGGAGGTCTGCCGCCGCTTGTTGCGCGCATTCAGATCGGCTCCAGACTTCGCGAGAATCTCAATGACTGCCGCCTCATCGCCAAAGGCCGCATGATGGACAGCCCGGTCGCCGTCCTTGTCCTCGATCTCCACATCGACGGCGTGACGCAGAAGCACTTGTATGACCTCGATATGACCATTCTGGCTGGCTGCCTGCAGGGCCGTGTGGCCGGCAAACACACCGTTCACATTCACATCTGGGCCAGCGGCGCTGGGCGAGGCGCTCGATGTGGATGGCTGTTGGCCAGCAGCAGCTCCAGCCAAGTACTCCTCGCAGCGGGCCTGAAATCGGTAGGGAAGGATTAGCTTGCGTATTGCCTGGTGGGGCTGTAGCGCTACTCACTGCAAATCCATTGGCAGCCGCCTTGACAAACTCCTCGGTGGCATCGCCCGAGACATTCGGTTCGAAGAGCTTCTTGAGAATGGCCGAGAGTCGCTCGCCACTGGGCATTACCGGGGCACAGTTGCCGTCGGACGTGGAGGAGGCCACCTTGCAGACGGCCAGGGGATTGTACGTCCAGGATGTGTTGCCCACCTCCACCTTGAGGTCATTGTCGTGGTACACCTGCTGGACGCGCCCGATCTTGCCCAGGGTCAGCTGCATGGCATCGGCCCATTCCCCGTGTCCGCGCTGCAGTATCTTGATGCTCTCCACATCCGAACAGATCTTGACGATGTCGCCCACCTGGAACTCTGGCGGCGCGGTGGTCGGGGAGGAGACCTTGGTGAGGACAGCCGGATTGAAGGTCCAGCGATTGCCCGAATTGTAGGCCACAACAATGTCGTGATCCTCGTCGATGCCCACGACCATGCCGGCATTGCTGAGGCACTCGAACATGCCGTCTGTCCAGCCGCCGTGGCCGTGCTGCAGGGACTGCACAATCTCCAGGTCCAAGTCCACTGTGACTTTGTCTCCAATCCGGAAGCCGTGGGGCCCCTTGCCGGGGCCATTCTCGCCCAGCAGCGGCAGGTGATCCCGATAGACATTGCTGCCCTTGGCATCGTTGACGACCTTCAGGTCGGCCATGCCCTCGAAGCCAACGCGATAGAGATTCTTGGAGCCATTGTCCCAGATCACGTAGGCGGCCGATCGGGGCGAGGCCGAGGACCAATCCTGGATCTCATTCACCTTTCCGCGGCGACCCACGCCACCGTCCTGGTCCTCCCACTGCCAGTCGACGCCACGCACCACACGGGCGCCCGGGAAGATGCCCCTGGCCAGCACCTTCTTCGATTTGCGACGCGGCTCCAGCATTGTGCGCTCCCCGCCCGGTGTCGTAATCCTATAGAAGCGATGCCTCAGATGATGCTTGTCGCCGTGATAACAGATCGAGCACAGGTCGTAGTTGATGCACTCGGCGCACTTCCAGCGAATGCCGAAGATCGGCTGCTGGCGGCAGGTGTCGCACATGGTGCCCTCATGCTTCACGCCGGTCGGAGCACTGTCCAGGATGCGCAGGTCGTAGGCACCCGCGCAGCGATAATTGGCCGCGGTGCCATTGTCCCAGACAACGACCACCTCCTCGGCGGACTCAAAGTTGCGGACAGTGCCAACGTGACCCTCGCCGCCGTCCTACCAGAAAGGGAAAAGAGAGAATTTCTCGATTAGTGAGTGAGTCACCCAATCTTTCGATTTAATTCCAAAATGCGAGCGAAACCCACGGCTACTACGATGCGAAAACTACAGTTGAAGTGCATTATCGCAACTAACAGTTAGGGTAGGCAGTCGCTAGTCGCCCTGCCTCCAGTGGCTATCTCCCGGTGAATCGGTCGAAATCGGCAGGTCGAAAAATATCTCGTCATCGTACAGTGGTTGAGGCTGTGCGAAAAGACGAGCCGAGCATCGATCGGAGCGGAGCTTGCAATTAATTCAATTGAACACAATTGAAAGTGTGTGCTGTGCGGCCGTCTGACAGTGACCCCTCCGCCCTCACCTGTTTGTTCCACTTCCAGTCCGGACCGCGTATGACCCGTGCCCCAACGCCCTCCATGGAGAAGCGTCTGGCGACGGCAGACGCTGAGCCAGCAGCGCCTGCTCCACCGCCAGCTGCCGCAGTCGACGTCGTGCCACCTGCAACCGCTGCAACGTTACCAGCGCTGCTGCTCACTACCACACCCACACCCGCTGCTGTCGATGAGGTGCCCGTCTGTGCTGCTCCGCTGGCATTTGCTGCATTTGTTGTGTCCTTAGCCGCCGACAAAGTTGCGGCGCAAGACATTTTCCAACGTCAATCTGCTGTTTAGAGTCCACTCTTGGTGTTTGCCCACAATTTGTTCACTTTATTGCACAATAATCATGTATTTTTCGCGTCGAAAAGCAGCAGCGACGATATCCGGCCAACAAATAAATACCACTAAATACCATTTCAGTTTCGAGAAATACCATTTAAATACCATAAACGGTCACGCTGGCCCAAAATACAAACTACTTTTTGTACAGCTATTTCTGTCAAAATACTAAATACCTGTTGGCAGGTGCTGCCAACTCTTCTTCGCTCTTGGCAGACGTTACGTTTCCAAACAAATTTTTTAATAACAAATATACATGATATTAAATTGTACAAATTGATTAAGCTTTCAGATACTGTTCAGGATGATCTAGAAATGCTTCCAAGAAAGCCACTCCCTTTGGCAGAAACTGTATATTTTCGCTGAAGAAATGCAGTTTGGGCTGCAGAATATCTGTGAACGAAATTCTCTCCACATTGGCTATCTCCATCACGAAATCGGTCTTCTCAATGCGCGTACACTTATCCACCTCAATATGCCGGCGCACAGTCTTTTTTATAACCATTCGATTCGCTTGCCTAAAAGGAAAAAATAACGAGAAATTTCAGACAGACCATTTGAATGGATCGCCAATGGATATCACCTTAGAAGACTCGCCCTTGTTGTCGTGAGAACCGTCAAGAGTTTGTGGAATGTGCGTTTTATGTCCACACAAATTGTGTCTATGCATTGCAGAAATTGTGCGAATTCCTCCACACTGTTGCCCTCAATGGAGTTGGTGAGATTCACTGGCAGCTTGAGCTGCAGCTGAAAGTCGAGCAGATGCTCAAACGCTGTCCATTGCTGCAGTGAACCGGCTGTGGCCCGTTCCACCTCGATGTAGCACACCCGTATGGCAGTCTCCATCTCATCCACTGTCTCGTAGTCCACAATCAGGCGAAATGTGGCAAGCAGTCGATGGGTGAATATCAATTTGCGGGAGACCTTTAGCTGATAGTCAAAGATCCAGTTGGGCTGCTGCTCGCCCAACAGATCCTCCAGGCGGTCAAAGAACGTCTCCTCTGGTGGTTCGACAATCTGCTGTATAACCTCCTGGCTTCCGGCCAGATTGCGCTTGAATCTAGGGTGTGCGGAATGGACTTAAAATGAATGAGAAAATGGTTTTTTCTATGGATCTCACCCTTCCATCGTCATTTTGTATGCGGCCAACACTTCGTTGACGTCCCACTTTCTGACCGCCTCCTCCTCCTCCTCCCCCTCCTCTAAAGTCGAATTGTCCAAAGCGTGCTCCAGGGCGTTGGTCTGCCTCTCGTGCTCCTTGATCTGCCAGTACTTGGTCACGTCATCCAAGTTGGGCTTCTGTCTCACGCGTCGCAGCATTTGTATTTCCCGCGTCAGATCCCACTCGGGGAGGGAGGGCAGGACAAAGGAATCGTTGCTCAGCTTGGTGTCATTCAGGGATCGCCTGCAGTTGGCGCACTTTCTGCAGGAGGCGCTGGACCCAGCAGCCACCACTCGAGACCTCTCCTTCTGCTCCTGGCAGGGCTGAGGCTCTGGCTGTGCGGGCATGCCCTCAGCGCCCTCATTCGGCGCCTCCTCATCCGTGTCCGGTTCATCCGCCAGCGTGGAGACCAAGCTGAGCCGCACATGGTCTATCGGATTGGTCTCCTGCTCATCCATATCGATGTTCTCCACTAGGGCAGCCGAAAAGATGGTCGTGTCCCCGGATAGATTGATGAATCTTTGATTTGTGGGTGCGTAGCTCTTGAACGAACGATCCGTGGAGCTTCCACTATCCCTATTGCCAGAGTTGCGCTGCTCCCGGGGCTCCTGCTCTGTCATAGTCCCGGCCGGCTCCTTCTTCACCTGCCACGGCTGGCATTGAAAGTAGGTGGACACATCCGAAATGGTGATGTGCCTCTCCTCGAATGCGGTGGCTGGGGGCGGCGGCGGCGGCGGCGGCAGTACCTCAATCACATCTGAATCATCCATCACGTGAGATTGACGTGAGAGACGTGATTGGCGTGAGAGACCCTGACAGTCTCTCACAGGCTGCACAGTTTCGTTAAAGTTCTCCATTTTGATTGAGTCTCGGATGGGAATACGTGATTTGTTCACCGCTGCTGCCGACGCCACTTCCTGAATGGAAGCACTCAGCTCCATCGCCTCCTGCTGCTGCTCCACCTCCAGCATTTTACTGTCCGCAAAGAGATGGGTGTTCCGCTTCTTGGACTCTGGCAGATTGGGCGTGAGGTGGGTGGGTAATCTCTTGGCATGTCCACTGTGCCGTATGGGAGTGCCCAGTCCTGAGGCTTCCCCCTCCAAATCCATTTTCACGGACTGATACATGGATCGTTTTCGCAGCAGTAATGCCTGCAGCGGACCGCGAGGTACAGCCGACCGGTTGGTCTCCTCCTCGAACTCCTCAAATTCATTCATCGAGTTACCAGACGTTGAGCGGTTTTGTTTCTGCATGGGGGTGATCGGTAGTAGCTCCGAAGGATTGCAGGATTGCAGGGGACTATGGAAGTCGTCCTCCTCCTCCTCCGCCTCCTCTTCCATAGATTCAGCCATGACTATTGTCTGTTGGGCGCGGAAGCCACGGCTTGTAGCCACTTTGGTAGACCCCTCGAGTGGCGGTTTTGTCAGCGGTTTCTCCTCTTCCTTCTCCTCTTCCATAGATTCAGACATGATCATTGTCTGCTGGGCGCGGGAGCCACGGCTTGTAGCCACTTTGGTAGACCCCTCGAGTGGCGGTTTTGTCAGCGGTTTCTCCTCTTCCTTCTCCTCTTCCATAGATTCAGACATGATCATTGTCTGCTGGGCGCGGGAGCCACGGCTTGTAGCCACTTTGGTAGACCCCTCGAGTGGCGGTTTTGTCAGCGGTTTCTCCTCTTCCTTCTCCTCTTCCATGGAGGTGGCCAAGAGCAGAGTCTGGCGTGCTTTAGACGTCTTAATGGCTGTAAAATTTTCTTCAATCGGTTCAGCCACTAGAAGCGTATTTCTGGAGTTGGAGGCCACACTTGGAATCTTCTCCTTGGATTCGCGAGTGTTTCTCGGTTTGGAACTCTGGTATGCAGTGCTCGTCTCCTCGTCGATGGGCTCTGACATTATCAGAGTTTGTCTAGATTTCGACGAACGATATCCAGCGGCCACATCCCTGAAAGACTTCTCCGTAAGCAGAGGCTGTTCCTTGGTTTGGTCCTCCTCGATGGGCTCTGACATTATCAGAGTTTGTCTAGATTTTGACGAACGATATCCAGTGGTCACAGCCTCAGTGGGCTGATGTTCCTTGGTGTGATCCTCCTCTATGGGCTCCGACAGTAGCAGAGTGTGCCGCGATTTGAAAGACCGATACACAGTTGAGTGGCCGATCCGCTTAGTTTCCACCTCCTCCTCCTCAATGAAATCCTCCTCGATGGGTAGATTCTCCTCCTTATTTGTGGATCTGGCGTGGCGTGGCTGTTCTCTGGCCTGATTCGTATCTTCTTCTATGGGCTCCGACATGAGGAGCGTGTGCCTTGATTTCGAGCGCTGTTGTCCAGCTGAATGTTGCTGGAGCGTGGATTTTGGTGCCATAACATCCTCTTCTATGGGCTCTGCCGAAAGGAGAGTGTGTCGGGACTTGCCACGTTGATAGCCAGTGGGCTTATCCATTCTGATAGTTGCCTCATCTACCTCTATTGGTTCCGCCTGAAGAATGGTCTGTCTAGCCTTGGATCTTGGTTGATGCGCCTCAACGGGTTCAGGTGCTGGCAGCTGCACATACGACTTCCTTATGGCCCCATTGGCTGCAGCACTCCGACTGTTAGTTTCGTCTTCCTCCAACGGTTCCGCCAAGTGGAGAGTTTGCCTGGCCTTAGATTCACCCTTTGCCAGCGTAGGAGCGCTTGCCTTGAGATGCAGCTCCTTCAGGGGACTTATAATATCCTCTTCCATGCTCTCCTCCATCAGCAGAGTCTCTCTGCGTTTCGTTTTGGTGCGTACCCAAACGGGGGCCGGTGGTTGTGGGACGTTAGTTCCAGCATCTTCCTCTATTGGTTCCGCCTGAAGAATGGTCTGTCTAGCTCTGGAACTCTGATATCCCATTGGTTGATGCGCCTCAACGGGTTCTGCTGCGGCATTCCCGGGGAGAGTTTCGTCTCTCTCCAGCGGTTCCGCCATGTGGAGTGTATGCCTGGCCTTAGATTGCTCCGCTATGGTAGGAGCATTTCCCTTCAGAAGCACCTCCTTGGTGGGACCTCTAATATCCTCTTCCATGCTCACCTCCATCAGCAGAGTCTCTCTGCGCTTCGATTTGCTGCCCTTGTGTTGGACGTTCTCCTCCGACTGGCAGACAATCTCTTCCCTAACAGACTCCACCACCTGACGGCTCTTCATTCTCTGCTGATGCGTCGTAGCTTCCTGGTCCATGGACTCATTCATGTGCAACGTACGTCGGGCACAGGAGCGCCCTGTAGGGAAGGCGGCAGCAGCAGCTTCTTCCAACTGAAACACATCCTGTTCCATTTCCGCGGGCAGATTAATGGTCTGTCTGGGCTTGGCGTGCTTCGATGCTGCCTCCTGCTGTATGGTCGATGGTTGAGAGTTGACCTGTCTGCAGGGCAAACCCAAATCGAGCTCCGAGTTTTCATATGTTGTCTCTCGTCTCGTGAAGCTCTTGGAATTATTGCGGGATTGGGTCTCATCGCCCAATTTGGCATGGGCCAGGAAGTTCGTGTTGTCCAGCATCATCTCATCCGCCTGCGAGAGCCGATACTTGCGCTTGTCGTCCGGTGGTGGTACCATCAGCTTTTCTCTCGGCAATTCCACTGCCACACGCGCTGCCACTGGCGTTGCTTGTGCCAGGGGGGACATGGTCATATTCTCACTGAAATTCAACGTTCCCCGCGGCTTGATGCTCCTTATGTTGATGCCCATGGGATCCTGATCTTGATCCTGATGGAGGCCATGCCAAAACCTCTTCTGCTTGGTGCTGCGATCGGTTGTGGGCGTCCTGGGGCCGTTCACAAGGACTTTGATCTTGCCCGCTTCCAGCTGATCGTTCAGCTGGCGGAAGGTCAACTTTTTGCTGATATTCTTCCCGGAAATCATGTCATATGGTATGAGAACAGACTCGTCTCCCAGATAGTTGATGGTGCTATTGTTGGACTCCGTTTCGAAGGAGCCATTCGATGGCAAACGGTCTCTAGCACCGGAGACTGCAAGAGCAAAAGTTTCAGATTAAAAACTGCCAAAAGGGAGGAGAAGGAAGCTACCAACCATTCATGTCGCAGTCAAAGGATGCATCTGCCTGCCTCTGGCTCTCCTTTCGGCTCTCTTCCATCTCCATATTCCCCGCATTCTGTACAGGATTAATATTCTCCGTTGCTTTCGTTGTCAGACGTTGATGAGAGCAATTGAGGAACTCCTGCTCCAGGTCCATGAAACTCTGCTTAGCTGAAGCAGCAGCAGCGGCAGCTGGGGGTGGGACCGGATCAGCGATTCCTAGTGGCGTGATGTCCATAACGGAATCACTCACAGATCTCGTTGGTTGTGTTTTCATTTGCTCCTTTTCGAACGAGGACAACTCCAACGAGCAGTCATCCCTGGCTTTCGATGAGATATGCATCAGATCGATGGTCTTGTCCATTATTCGATGGTTGTACATCGCATCCTTTAGCTTGTCCCGCCCAATCGTGGAGAGCGAGAAACTCTCGGCATAGAGCGACTCTCTGCTCACCGTACTATTCGGCTTCGTTTCCGATCTCGTGTTCCGACTCTTTTCATATGGAAACATGGGCACATCCATGCCGATGCTCGTCCGTAGATTCAGCGTCGAATCGATTCGGGTACTTTCGTACTCACATTGCAGAGGTATATTCTCCTTGTCCGCTGTCGGCGTCTGCTGGCAGGGGCCAGTTTTCGATGCCCTCTCTCTGCTGTCTTCGCCATTGGTGTGATCCGATAGTTCGTAGGAGTTATCCCAATAGTGCGGCTCCTCTGTATTCACGAATTCCCTGTGCAGCAGACAAGTATTATTACGACTGCAGTTTTGTATAAATTGCACCCCCTCCAAGTGTGCGACGCTTGAGCAAGGAATTGCGCGTCGTCGTTGGTGCTGTTTGATCGTCTTCTTTGGCTGTTGGTGGTTGCCGCAGCTTAAAATGCATGCATGCAATTGTTTAATTAAATCTTCGAGTGTATATTTAAAGTACAACAACACTCACCGAACTTCTACGATTGTTTTTATCCATTTCTAGGGCAAAATTATGGCAATATTGTGATTTTAAAATCTCATTGGGAGTGTGACCGCCATTTTTGTTTGAATGATCATTAGTGTGACTGACGCCCAGAAATATACCATAGTATTTATGAAATATACCACATCATATACCGATGAGCGTGCATGGTGTGCAGCAATAATAAGGTGACGCAAGGTGTGAGCTTCACAATACCATTTTATTCACAACAAAATCCAATAATCACATTTTAAATTTATCAAATAAAAAGCCCTTAGGCCTTGAAGTTATCTTTCTCCTTGCGCAACTTGCCCATGGTTATAATGGGATCGGTTGCTCCTCCGGCATGCTTCTGAACAGACGCTTCGTGGACACGCATAAACGGATTCCAGATCTTCTCCTCGCCAATGGTGGAGGGCACTGTGGGATCCTGAGATGCACGTCGCAGCTTGGCCCACTCAATGCGTTGCTGTATACTCTCGTTATCGGGCTCCACATGGCGGGCAAAGCTCATGTTCTGCAGTGTGTATTCGTGGCCACAAAAGACCTTGGTGGTGTCCGGCAGGGCCGATAGCTTAGTGCACAGCGCCTCGTACATCTCCTCGGGTGTGCCCTCGAAGAAGCGGCCACAGCCTCCCTGGAAGAGAGTGTCGCCAGTGAAGACAGCTCCCTCGCCGTTTCCATCGCCGGCGGTGACATGATAGCAAATGTGCCCGGTGGTGTGGCAAGGAGTGGACAGGCAACGTACGTTGAGACTGCCAATGGTAAAGCTGTCATCTTGGCGAACCTTTTTGTTCAACGCGCCGATACGATCGTCGCCGCCATACACCTCCAACTCCTTCTCCCACAACTTGACGAGCTTCTCATTGCCCCCGGCATGATCCCAGTGATGATGGGTGGTCAGCACCTTATTGAGCGTCACATTCTCCTCTTGGACGGATCCACCACAGCTGCCTCGCGCGTCTTATTGTCCACAATCAAGTACATGTAGTTGTCCTGCAGAGCCGGCAGGATTTTCACCTGCATGCCCTCCAGATTAACGTCCTCCAATGTGCTATGCATGCCTCTTAGACCAACTTTACGCAGTTTCTGAACTGAAACGAGACACAGAATGGGTTATAGCTCATGGCGGGGATACAGCAATCAGCGGTGCAACAAGCAAACAAAACAAAAACCAAGCACAGTGACAACGGCAACAACAAGCTTTCGGGCCCAGAGAGAGAGAGATTAGATTAAACATAATATGTACGAGTATGGATAGATTACGGTTGACGGGACTTTGACAGACGGGAGGAACAGCCAGAAATCGTCTTTGTATTGATCCAGCACCAGGTGGAATCGCAATCCTGAGGAGTTGCAATCGCAATTTTTTTGACGAACCTCGGAAATAGGCGGCTGTCATATATTGTTCTACATTGGTAGCCACGCTGCGCCAAGCCGATGACAACATTTAAGCGGTTTTAAGTTTAGCTAAGCTAATGCTTGGTGAGATGAATTAAATTAATAAAAGGCACTTGGGTGGTATTTACGGTTTATGTAAATTTTTTTTGCTGTTCTGGAAAAGTGCCGGAATGTTAAATATATATTTTATATCGATATATATTTTGGCTGATATATTTTTGGGAGTTTGATCTATGATCTAGATGCGATCGTATCAATGAAATAATGAAATTATCAATGAAATAATGAAACGAGTTATCGTTATCAATGAAAATAATGAAATTATCAATGAAATAATGAAACGGGCGTTATCGTTATAATGAAAATAATGAAATTATCAATGAAATAATGAATCGCAGTTATCGTTATCAATGAAAATAATGAAACTATCAATGAAATAATGAAACGAGTTATCGGTATCAATGAAAGAACAATGAAACTATCAATGAAATAATGAAACGCAGTTATCGTTATCAATGAAAATTGAAACAATGAAATAATGAAACGCAGTTATCGGTATCAATGAAACTATCAATGAAATAATGAAACGCAGTTATCGGTATCAAAGAAAAAAAATGAAACTATCAATGAAATAATGAAACGCAGTTATCGGTATTAAAGAAAAAAATGAAATAATCAATGAAATAATGAAACGCAGTTATCGTTATCAATGAAAATAATGAAATTATCAATGAAATAATGAAACGCAGTTATCGGTATCAATGAAACTATCAATGAAATAATGAAACGAGTTATCGTTATCAATGAAAATAATGAAATTATCAATGAAATAATGAATCGAGGTTATTGTTATCAATGAAAATAATGAAATTATCAATGAAATAATGAAACGAGTTATCGGTATCAATGAATGAACAATGAAACTATCAATGAAATAATGAAACGCAGTTATCGTTATCAATGAAAAAAATGAAATTATCAATGAAATAATCAAACGCAGTTATCGGTATCAATGAAACTATCAATGAAATAATGAAACGCAGTTATCGGTATCTAAGAAAAAAAATGAAACTATCAATGAAATAATGAAACGCAGCTATCGGTAAAAAAGATTAAATACCCGATACTTTTGTGCGATAAATATGTGAAAGAAACATTCCCACTCTTTTCGATTCCGGCCCAGTGATATCGATAACCAAGCTATCGAAGTACAGTTGTCAGTTATTTTTGAATGTGAATTTAAATAGTCCAAAGCTAGAATGTACGAATCAACCGATTTGGACTGCGCCAACTCAGAATCCATGTTGATTGGAGTCCATCATGTGGGTGTGACAGCCAAAATACAGTCTCCACTCAAGAAGGTCCGGCCGCGCATGATAATGTCCAGCGAATCGGACATTTTCCAAGATGTCAAGATCAAGAGCCAGTACAATGCGTTCAAAAACGACCAACTGGAGGAGACAACCGGCACCACGACGGATGCCAGCTCGCAGCCCGCTTTATACAAGATGCGTGCCGAGCCAGAGAAGTTGCTGAATGAAAAGCCGGAGCGCATTGAGTTCCAGCGCTACTCGAAGAGGCGTCCCCGGGTCTTTGTGCCACTGCGTGGCCGTGCCAGAGTCCACCCGAGGGCCAAGTCGAACAAGGCATCCCAGGCGCCGCAGCAGACCAAGGCGAAATCAGGCTTTGTCAACCGCCTGATGAACGCTCTGGACAACATGTGCAAGTGCCAGCCGCAGCACTCGCACAACCTTATCGACGATCTGCCCGAGCCGCACTGGAACAAGAAGGAGGAGTCGCGTCACACCTGCATCGGTATCTATCCGTTCGAGCACGGCTGTGCCGATTACCTGAGCACCACGGACACCCATCCCAGGATCAATGCCATTGTCCTGGCCGATCGGGCCACCACCTATGCCACCCACTTCTGGGCGGAGCTGTTCGGCCTGCTCCACATTGCCGTGGCCTTTGTGGTGGCCTTCATTCTGCAGAGCTACCGATTCGTTCTCTTCTCTCTGGTCAACACTCTCATTGTGGGACTGCTGCACTTGACCTCCGACTACGTGCTGAAGCCCGTGCTGACCACGCTCTTCAATGGTTTTCTGCAGCCGCCCCTGATCCTTGTGTACAACATCCTCTGCTCCTTGCGTGACATTACGGAGCCTGTGGGTGATGCCTTGGCTCATTTCCTGAAGCCCCTGGCCACTGTATGCGGCAGCCTGCGACTGGTCGATGTCAACCACCGCCATGGCCGACGTTTATCCAAAAATGTTTGATTTTCCATGTTTGTTCTTCTATATGTTAAATTCCTTTGATTTCCCATTAAGTTTTGTTCCGTTTCCCGTTTCGTTCCGTGGGCGGAGCCTGTCACTGCAACCCCTAAAAGGATATCGGGGTAAATTCTGCTTCTCCTTCCCTGTCCCGCTTCCCTGTCCCCTCTTCACGGATTACACACAATATTACGCACATTCCGAACCTGGATCGGATTACATTGTTTTTTCTTGTTTCGCAGCACACCCATAGCCATAGCCCATAGCCATAGCCATAGCCATAGCGACAGCCAGCACCCTCTCACCCCCCTCCCAACACTGGACTTAAGGGTGTGCGAGGCGAGACGAGGCTCAATTACGGAGAGAGAAACATTTATGATTTATTTGCTCATTTTGTGGTCGTTCCACCAGGACATCGCCAGGGGGCAAGGAAGCATATGTCTAAAATAAAATTGTTAAAAAAATAAACCAACTAATTGTGTCCCGCGAGAGTTTTATTTGAAGTGGTTAAAAAAAAGGAAGAGTAAATTTTATAACAATTTTACTTCCTTCAACCGAGTCAGTTAAGGATCTGCAAGCCATGGATTTATTGTGAATATTTTAAAGGTAACTTGTGAATGGATTGCCGATTCTATCTCATCATTATCCTTTTCCATTCAGCCATTTCCACTGTGCAAATTTCCCAAGAATATTCTTTGTTTGCACTCGAAATAGAATCAATAAAACTGATCTCTGCAAAGACGATGCGATGCCTATCAAGGCGAGGCGTTTGGTTACCTTTTTCCAGTTAAGTTTCACTTTTCAATGGAAACGGAATCCCCCCCCCCATTCAGGAAGTAGAGCCAGGCAAACCAAACCAATGAATTATCATATTCAAATCTAGAAAAGAAAAATATCAATGGAATTGGTAAAGCTCAGGTGTAAGCAAATAGTTGGAGGAGTCGGGCAAAAACAAATGTGTATTTATTTGATTTATAGTTGTTTTTCAGTAAGAGGAGACAGAGACCCGCCCGCCCGCCACAAAGCTTTCATTAATGAGAATAATGAGGCGGTTGCCGTCGCAGGATCATCTTACACACATGCACATGCACCCCTTTCGGTGTGTGTGTGTGTTTTTTTTTTCTGAATGGGGGAAACGCCGAAAAACTCTTGCCTCCAATTAGCTGATGGAAATTGTTGTGTTTCTCGACATATGTTTGAAATTAATGAAGCTCCTGAAGCATTGATTGATTTGCGCTACTAATTTCACTTATTCTCTCTCGGTAAACCGAAGATTATTAATTGGAATGTCACAATGTCTCTATAAAAACATCTTTATGTACATATAGCAATAATTTCCAATCTGACAATCGAAATACAAGGTGCGAAAATCATTTACCCTCTTCAGACGTAATAGAGGAATTCTCGGGGTCTCTGGGTCTAAGGGGACCCGCCTACTCGCGTATAATACCCTCGGTTTGCCCATTATTGTGTGATCGACAGACGGGATAAGGGGAATCCGTGCAGCAGCAGCAGACTGCATTCATGAATGGAGGCAGACGGGTCGGGGACGGGACATAGACGGTGAAAGGAACAACGACAAGGTGACACATCCCGGGGACACTTTACAAAACGTTTTGTTCAGAATTTGAAGATTACAGCTGTTAAGCTGTTTTCTGGGCTGCTCTATTTTCTGTTCTATTCTCCATCTCTCGCTCTGTGAACTGGAATTGTAGGATTAACCGGGCAGGTTCCTCGTAACAATCCCTAAGACCATGACGTTTGCTAAATATCAGTGTGTTCTGCTTCTGTCTGTCTGTCTCTCCTTGCCAGAAGTTAAGCAATTTGTGGTCAGTCTGTCGCCTAGAGTGGCACAATAGTGGCATACAATGGGCATACAATGGGCATACGATGGGCTGGACAGCCGCAAATGGTTATGCAAGAAGTTATGAGTAAATATACAAATTTGAGAGGAACTTTAAGGATTTTCGCATGGGAAATTGAGTAATAGTCGGAGATTATGGCCCAAGTGTTTCCAGATTTCTGGGTACTTGAGCGGGTGGGGGTGTCACTACACACAATGGAATGCTGAGTGATGCAATAAGTTGGAACTCTGTTGAAACAAGAGTAGAAAATTTAGTTATTCAGCATGGAAGTAGCCAAAGGATAAAGGATAAAGGATGTAGGGATTAAGATAAGTTGAGGCAGAAGAAAATGGGAAGAAAAGATATGACCGATTGATATAGGAAAATCAATGATTTGAAGTGCCTTTTAATTTAAGGAACTAAACTAAAATAAGGAATATGTATATGCATATTTAATTGCAGAATTATATTGCAAAGAATTGCGTAACCATCGTCCTAAACATTTTTTCGATGAATATTTGACTTTGAATATTCCACACTCAGAAAGAAATGGTATTTAAACTATCTATTCGGTTTTTGGTTACAAATTTTGGTTAAATTAAATATAATTCACCTTGAATTAAGCATAAATACATATATTCAAAAGTCATTGTTATATGGCATATATTTAATCCGCATATAATATAATAAATTTGTAAGAAATATATAAAATTTAAAGATGAAAATATTTAATTTAAATGGGAAATATATTTATTTTAAATTTGAATTCCACTCTATCGATATTTCGGTGCTAATATGTTGGTATCCTCTGGGTTTAGTTCCTTTCTTACTTAATTATAGCGTCAATCATTTTCCTTATCTACGCCTATGCTCTTATCTTTATTCACAATTTTGGACTGCACTTAATTTGTTTCAGCTCCATTTATTTGTAGCGATACAATTTGCATTCATGCGCTTGCATTATTTAGGAAGCAGACACCAAACACACTCGAGGCAAAAAATCTGCTTGCCTCAGCCAAACATGATAGTGTGGGAACGAACCAAAAGACGCATTTCCATTGCGCCCAGGCCCAAGCCCAAGCCCAAGTCAAGCAAGAATCCAGTAAAAAAAAAAGAAACAAAAAAATTAATAATAATACAAAAAGCTTTGTGTGGATTCCGGCCAACAGCTCTGCCGACGGCTCTGTAAGTCCTGACACGTGATTTTAATAATGGAATTAGCTGGGCTGCGTTTACAGTTTACAATCCTTTTCCTGCGGTCAATTAGAGGGCACGGCACACACCCACACCCACACCCACACCCTAACCGGGGGGGGAGCGCGGGTGTTGCCAGGCAACAACAAAAGCTCGGGTAATCGGTATCGACACCTGCAGTAATCTCTTCCTCTCTCTCTCTCTCTGTCGCTCACCAGAGAATCGATCGCATCTCTTTCCCCCTGCCTCTGCCTCTGGCTGTGACAAATCTGGGACCTGGAACCTGGGACCTGGAACTCCGTTGCGTTGCGTTGAGTGTGACGAAATTGTCAACCCTCCTAATTTGATGCTTAATGAATTCCCTTCAACAACAACAGCAGCAGCAGAGGCAGCAGAGGCAGCAGAGGCAGCAAGCAACAACTGGAAAAGTGCTCCTGTTTCTGTGTTTCTGTGTTCCTGTGTTCCTGGGGGCAACGCAACGCAATTGTTTAGCCTTTTTGTGGATGGATTGTCACCTTTGTGTCCATGTCACTTTTATTTCATTTTACTTTATCGCACCATTTCGTGTTGTGTTGTGTGTTGAATGCAGCAGTGGAGGTGGAGGAGAGTAGAATTTTGTAATTGAAATTTGATCCCATTAGATGAGCAGAGGCAGAGGCAACGACAGCGGCAGAGCCTCCTCAACGCGCAACGAGCATTCTTTTCCCAATCCCAGCCTCCGCCAGGGCATCAAATTGCATTGAGTCTGGGTCTGGGACCGAGACACAGACTCGACTTTCTATATATGTACATATATGTATACTCGTCGACTCGTTGAATATATCTTGCATTTTAAATGCAAAAAATACACAAAAAAAACATAGCCACAAAACTCGGTGCAAAAAACAAATTAAGCAATGTCATAGAAATTTGATGTAAATTCCAAGAAAATGCACACGGGCATTCATTAGATACCCCCACCACTCCGCCCCGTAAACACGACTCTAATGAGGTCATGATGTTTGTTTCACAATGAAATCCAATGTTTTTCACCGTTAGATAACAAAGGGAACATCACACACAAACACACACACACACATGCAATTGCAAATGTTTGCACAACCATGACAAAATGGCTGCCCGAAGGTTACGCCCTCATACGCTAAGGATAACGGCACAAGCAACACGCACCCACCCCTAAATTGGCCTGCTCCTGCTCAACCAGTCAACGGCCACCGATTCGCGTACCCGAAACGAACGGCAACGGAACGGCGCACACAGCCACAGACACAGCCTGCCTGCCTGCCTGCCTGCACTGGGATTCCCCATTGACGGCTCTTCTTCCGCCCGCTTGCATTTCATTTGATTTTGAACAGCGAACGCGTCAAGACGGTCAGGAGAGAACGGATCTCCCCGAAAGAAAACTCAAAAGTTCTTTGAGTTTAAAGAAAACGAATCTATACTATAAATAAATAAATAAATATAAAATTTAACCAAGTGGCAAAGTGAACTTGATTTGAAGTTTAACGAATTTAAATATTGGAATATTTCAAAATGAATTATTAATAATAAAAATCAAGTGTGCAAGTGTACCAGTTGATAACCAGAATAAAACCCACAATAACAGTGAAAAGTTATCATAACCAAATCGAACTACAACTGAACTTTGTGTTCAGCTCTCGAAAAGTAGAATAATGTTTGAGAAAAATATGGATACAAATAATCTGTCAGTGTCCATTAGCGGGGACCTGGACTCGACCAGCTCCGGCGGCACTTCATCGGATCATTCGGCGGTGCAACAGGATCATCTCAGCTCTCCCATGGCCTACGGTTCACTCTTCCTGCCAAATCCCGGTTAGTTATACAATGTCTAGGTCTTATCAGATCAGCGTGGAAATTGCACAGAAAATAAGAGACAGGGCCATGGCCAATATCGTATTACTCTAGACAAGAGGCGTCAATGGAGGCGCTGCATAAACAATTAAAGCCTGGACTACAACTCATTTTGCTGAATATTACAAAAGTTTTGAGGATTGCATGCAGTGTAGGGTGCACAATTGGGTTGTATAGAATCAATCAGATATCAATATATCAATATAATTATGCGTGTTTCCCATTTGCTTAAACTATCATTTATCTAAAGGATCTCCTAGTATTTATGTTAATTTACTTCTCTACAATTTCTTAGTTTATTGCATGCTGCAGGCCATCCAAAATTCGTGGATGAGCAACCCGTTCTGTAGCCTAAACCAATGTACCATCAAATGCATTATGTATTACATATATGCATGTAAATATGTATATCTCTTGCATATATGTACGTACTTACATTTATGTGCACATATCGGATTTATTTATTTGCTTAATGTCTCTTTATGGTCTCGATACAGTCCCCCCCTAGCCCTGCCCGAAGGTGTCGAAAGACGACGATCGTTTTGGTTGGGTATTTGGTGGATTAGTCACATGCAAATGATTGGTGTGGGGTTTTTGGGGTTGGGTGGGTTGGGTTGGGGGTTACCGAACAGCCCACCGAAATGGCACGTGAGAAACGAACTACAGAAGAGCTAATTTCATCGCTTTCCTCCCTCCCTTCCCTTCCCTTCCCCTGTCTGCAGGCTATCGTGGCAACCTCTCGTGCAAGACCGTCTTGCAGTTGGATAAGTTTGGTCCGTATGAGGGCGCGGAAAAGGATCATCTGTTGGAGCGTCGCTTTCAGGATATTACCAACGATTACGACAAGTCCCCACCGCCCACGGCCTCGACCACGCCCACGCACTATCCCACACTGAATAGCATTATGTTCGAGAATGGCGGTGGCGGTGTCGGCGGCCCCTTGGGCGATCTCAATGGCAATACGAAGACAGATGCCCTTTGCGCGGGTCTCCAAAGAGCTGGCGTTGGTCTAGGTGGTAATCCGGGCAGCGGGGGACATCTTATATCGAATCTAACGGCTGCCCACAACATGTCCGCCGTGGGCAACTTTCCCATCGATGCCAAAATGCTGCAGTTCTCCACAGATCAGGTAAGCAAATTGATACATTCTACAAGGAGAGTCTCCTTTAAGTTAATTACATTTTTGTATTATTCGCAGATCCAATGCATGTGTGAGGCACTGCAGCAGAAGGGCGACATCGAGAAGCTAACCACCTTCCTGTGCAGCCTGCCGCCCAGCGAATTCTTCAAGACCAACGAGAGTGTGCTGCGGGCCCGCGCCATGGTCGCCTACAATCTGGGACAATTCCACGAACTGTACAACCTGCTGGAGACGCACTGTTTCTCCATCAAGTACCATGTGGATCTGCAGAATCTCTGGTTCAAGGCGCACTACAAAGAGGCCGAAAAGGTGCGCGGTCGTCCCCTGGGTGCGGTCGACAAGTATCGCCTGAGAAAGAAGTATCCCCTGCCCAAGACGATATGGGATGGCGAGGAGACGGTCTACTGTTTCAAGGAGAAGTCGAGGAATGCCCTAAAGGATTGCTATCTGACCAATCGTTATCCCACGCCCGATGAGAAGAAAACGCTGGCCAAGAAGACGGGCCTAACGCTCACCCAAGTCTCCAATTGGTTCAAGAATCGCAGGCAAAGGGATCGTACGCCCCAGCAACGATCGTAAGTTGATATGGAATTAATTCTATTTTGAATCTCTGTAGCCTTGTCCTCGGGGTGTATCCAAAGACGAACCTTTCCATTCTCTCCATTTCCACATAACTCGTAAAAGAATTCATTCAACACTTGAGTGTGTTCCACACCCAGAAGTATTTGAAAAACTGGGAAAAAATATAATCAATTGTTTTGGAAATTGGCATTAAAAATCGTTTGTACTCGTAAGTGACCGTAAAACACTTGCGAGCGTTCAGTTCTTCGGTCCGAAAATGCCACTTGAGCGTGTTTTATGTCCAATTTTGCCAGCTCCTGCCATAGGGTAGGGTCCTATGCATATTTATAGAGCCTAGGGGACGGGACGGGACGTGACCCTAACGCAGCGCATGCGTGTAGCATGTGCCGCACTGCTCCGTTCACTCCCCACCCCCCGCTGGTTGATCGCCTTCGCCCTGGGCGTCAAATTGCAGCACTTATTCTAGCACTTCTCCAGCAAGTGGAGTAAATGTGTTGTTTCTCTTTCTCTTTCTCTTTTTGTGTGTGTGGCTCGACTAATATACATAAGTACTATATATTCCCTTTCTGTTCTTTGCAGTGATATTATGTCGGTGCTGCCAGTGGGCCAATTGGATGGCAACGGCTTCCCGCGCATGTTCAACGCCCCCAGCTATTATCCCGAGACGATTTTCAATGGGCAATAAACTTCGAACCATTCGAATGGGGTCTGGTCTCCATTGTTTTGTAAATACTGCGATTTTATGTTAAAAAAAAAAAACAAAAGCAAATGAAAAACTGGTCATCAAATGGCATCATATTGTTTAGCATTAGAATAATCTACATTTTGCTTTATGTATTGTACAATAATAATAAATAAAATGAATGAATTTTACGAGTATAATTGCAATAGATTAATAAATCCGAATTCCAGAATAATTTATAAATTAAGTGTTTTCATTTTTGGTGTGTATGTGATGGCAGTGGAGAGTTACGTGTACAAGCAAATTTCAAGGACTTAAACAAGTTTTAAAGCTAGCCTTATTACTACTTACGGTACTGGGGACTGTCCTGACGTCAGATCTATTTATCCTTATATTTCATATTGATTTCATACATCGCAATTCTTTCCTCCTGCTCCAATTCGAGCTTTCTCAGCTCCACGGCTGCTTGCAATTTCTTCTCCTCAAACTTCATTCTTCTCAGCTCCTTCTCCTTCACCCATTGGAATTTCTCCACCTCCAATTGCAGAATGGCTTCCTTGTAGTCCAGCTCATCCACCTTCTTCGCAGCATCGGTGTGCGGCGTGTGTGGCACCCGTTCTGGCTTCTGGGGTTCCTCGACTTCATTTTGGTGATTATGTAGCTCAGTCTCAAATACGGAATCCGAGCAGTCAATGGGATCCATGGACGAATCGCTTGCGCTTTTCAGATACTCCTCATTAAGCGAGTCGTCGTTGCTTAATATCGACGAGCGCGGATGGTTGAATTCGGTGTTCCACAAGCTGTTGCTCATGGACGATTCAAAATTGAAATCGGCGCCAAACATAACAACCAACTGATCATAGTGCGGGCACAACTGCAGCAGGGTCTCTGCAAACATTTGCAAATTAAAGCATGCTATTTTCAGTGAGTAATCTGTTTTACCTCTAACTCTGGCAGGATCATCGATCTCCGAACCTTTCGTCTTCCTCCAGGTGTTGGCCTTCTGCAGAGTACCCTTTAGATATCTGAGTTTGCATTTAAACGTGTTCCAAGTTCCGCTTATCTTGGTTTCCTCCATCAATTTTGCGTAGTACTTTCGAGCTGTGGGTTTCTTTCAAATGATTGGTGTTAGTTCTGAGAAGTTAAAGTCGGTTAAGGATAATGGTTACCTACCTCGATATTCCCATGCCTCGCAATGTATGCCAGCATTCTTTTTATTTCCTCATCGTGCCATTTCTTTATTGAGGTAGCTTTCCGCTTCCATTTAAGTGGTTTTGCTGTGAATATTTATCAGAAAGATTAAATGACTGGCCGTTAGGTGCGATGCATTGTACTAACTGATTTTTTTTGAAGACATGTTCAGGGAAGGTTTTGTTTTGGTTGTTTGTTCGTTTTTTGGTTGATTTTGCGAAAGAAATCAAAATCAAAGAAATCATGAGCGAGCTAGGGATGGGATGGCTGAAAGGTATTTAGTATTTGACTGGTATTTTTCGATAAGTTTTGGCGATATTTTGGCAAAAGTAGCAGGTTTGGCGGTATTATTGCTCAAAATTATCAAAAAATACCAGCAAATCAATATAGCTATCGATATGCTCCGCAAAAAATAGCAACAAAAGGAAACAGACAAGAAATGTCAAATAAATCTAATCTTAGCGAATACTTTGCTAATGATCCACCCAGTTTTTTTGATGAGCTGACGAAACCCAAGTCCAAGGAGATACCAGCAGAAAGTATTGTCAGTGGCACCAGTGGCAGCGGCGGTACTAGCAACAATATGTTGTCGAGCACATTCACAGGTTACTTTCAACCTCCCGAGTTTGTGGAAACACCGGAGTCTGAGGAACCCATCGTCCCCGACGAGGTCCGCAATTTGTGGGAGCTGCCCCGCGAAAATGAGCACAGCAAATTGATTATGCCTGGCATACAAGTACAACACGATCTGGTGAGTGAGCGATGGAAACTTGTTGAGTTTTCATTTGTGAACGTGTGCCACTTGCCATTTCAGCCCGATCCCATAAGTGTTGCTGTGACCCAGCACCTTGGAGAAGCTGAGTTGGCGAACCGTAAGATCCTCGGCGTGGACGATGTCACCCAAGACGAGCGAGGCCTGCGGAACCTAATCCATGCAGGCTGCCTCCGCACGGCAGTCAATTTAACTGGCAGACTCTTGACGGTCTACGGCCAGGGCTATGGACGTGCCGGACAACCAGCGAAGCATTCTCCCCACTCGCTGCAACTGTGGTTCACTCGCCTGGCCCTGCTGGCGAAGCTGGGTGAATTCGAACTGCTACAGACCGAGGCTGAGCCCTTTGGACAGCTCACCGCACCGGATGTCTTCTTCGATTTCTATCCCGAGATGTACAATGGAAAAAGTGGATCCATAGCGTGCTTCTCGTTCCGCCTGCTACTTGCCGAGCTGCCCATTTACATGGGAAAGCCACACATAGCACTGGACAGGCTTTCGGAGCTGCATGTGACGAGCAACGAGATCAAGCAGCACTATGTACAGCTGCAGAACAAGACGGCGGAGGAGTTCTGGCAAAAGCGGAGCGAGAGGGTCTTGCATTCGATTATAAACTGTGGCCTGATGGTAAGTCCGAAGGGTGTACATGGAATAATCCTAATATAAGATGAAATTCTCACCTGTAGATGAAGAAATTCAGTATGATTGATGATATAATGGATGGAACCCTCTTGAAACGCTCCAGCCTTAGCAAAGATGACCAGCGTTCTCTGTACTCGGCCTGGGGTCGCATCTACCTGCAAATTGGTGATATCTTTGGGGCCGAGCAAAAGTTTGCCGTCTCCCGGCGACTGCGAGAAATGTGAGCTTTGGATATTTCATGGATGGATGTATGTTGATTACACATAATTTACAGGAACTCTGCGCCTGACCTGAGGGACCTTATGGACAAGGGATTAATAGCAGTGGCCAAAAATGACTTTCCCGAAGCGTATTTGATATTTCAAAAGGCTTTGCACTTGGACTCTGGCAATACATTGATCCTGAACAACATGGGCGTGTGCCTGCTATACGCTGGCAAGCTCAAGGATGCCATTAATCTGTATGAGCATGCCATTAACCAGAATCCCCAGAGATCCCTGAACGAGAGCCTCCTGGTTAATCTGTCGACGTTGTACGAGCTGGAATCCAACAACTCAAAGGCGAAAAAGTTCAATTTGCTGCGCTTGATTAACAGATACAAGCCAGATCTCAACATAAGCATAGAAATTTGCCTTAAATTACAGACAATCAACTAAAAGTATTTACTATACTTATTTATTGTTACACACATTCCACCATCCATAGAATAAAATTCCACAAGATAATAATATCTAGTATTTTGCAAGTCCATCCTTGGTTTTTGCAGTCGATATTTAAATAATACCAAGCAATCGATACCCTAGAGGTCCTATCGCTGCGTAGGCCATCTCAAATCAACTTCCCAGTATCGGTCGCTGAAAAAGAATTTGAGAAGAATTATTTATAATTTCCATAGAAAATCGCGGGAATATTTACGTATAGAATACGCCTAAATGTTTGTAAACACGTAGCGAGTGTTTATCTGAATAGGATAGTTGGAAATAGGTGAGTTTTGTGGCATTTAAAGGCGTTTCAAAAGTACGGCCACACGATTGCCAGGCAGCAGGCGTATATAAAATGGAAAATATTGATGTGCTGCCTGTGGGTGCAAAAAAGAAAGTGTAGAGAAATTTTCGTTGCAGTTAGAATATTGTGTATTTTGACTATACTCCTGTTTATGCTCCTCCTGCAAATGATTCAGATTAAACGATGTTCGATCCAAACCCAATTGATTGTTTTTTCCTTTTATTTTAGCAATTTTATTTTTGTTTGGATGTGTATAAAAAAAAGCGCGCCATTATTTTTGTGCCATGACGTAGCCATCGGGGGCCACGAAACAAAGTGTAATTTTTTGTATTTTAGCTCATGTGCAATTGTTTACGGCGTGCATAATGCCTTTGCTTCATTGTGTGTGTGTGTGCAGCAAATAATTTTATATATTTTTTATTCTGCTTGTGGCGGTGCGCATACGCTAAGGTACACGCTCGTCAAAACATATACACATAACCCAGGCAAAAGGCAGAAAATCTCTATTCTTTTGCAATTTGTTTTGATTTCTCATTCGTGTGAGAGTTGTTGTCATTGGTTTTGCGCTCTCTTCGCCGTCGCTCTCTGGCTCTCTCGCTCATGCGCGCCGTCTCTCTCTGCGGACGGTTTTTGGTCTGTACGTGGTTCTCGTATTTCTTGGTAAAATGCCGTGGGCATTGTTCCCAAATTAATTTTATTAATTTTTCACAACCTTCCCACGTTCTCCGGTCTAGCAACCGCCGCCCTGAGCGATCTCGCTTCGCTGAAAGTCTGGTTTCGACTGCCGTAACGGCAGTTATCGCCTCTTTGGTGGTTGTCGTTTCTTCGATTTCGACGTGCACTCAATTCATTATCTAGTGTTGTGTTGGCATGGCCTTTTTCTAGCTAGGTCTAGCTTTTTTTCATGTGTCGTGGCAATAGGAGTTGAGTACATATTTGCATATTTTTAACACAATTACATATTTACATTTTTCAAACCGGATTAAATATGAAAAATTAAATACCGATTAATACAAATATTTGAAAAACTATGTAAAAGTTGCAAATACACCTTAAAATTACCAATCTAGACCTTGTTTTTCCGTCTAATGTAATACAAAATATGACAATGCACAATTGGAATTCTTGTTATATATCCCGCTAGTTTAGTACATTAGAGCTGCCATCACTACTGTTTTGATTTCCGCTCTTCTCCCTCTCTCTCTCTCTCTCTCTAGTATACTCTCAATCGCTCTCTCTGTCAACTGCAACTGTAAACATATTCTTTTTGTTTACTTCTCTCTCAGGTCCACAAGATGGCAGCCAACAACAACAATAGCAATATGCATAATCTGGGGCCGGGAACTGGTGCGGGACTGCCGCAATCCGTGATAGCCTCTACGGGTACCCCCTTGGGGTCGGCTCCACCAGCCACCAGCAGTGCCTCCCAGAGTGCCTGGGATCAGCTGACGGCGAGTGCCTCCAACAATATGTCGCCTTCGCCAACGGCTGGAGCGCCCACGGTGACGGGGCCGATTTTGAGCGATGCACCACCCTCACTTGGGGCTGGACACATGAGTGCCGGCAGCTCGCCTGTGGCCAGCTGCTCCTCCCCGTCAACGCCGACAAAGACGCACGCTCCGTCGCCCCTGGAGAGCATGGCCCACACCCCGCAGGGACCGCCCACGCTGGGTCCGGGTCCGGGTGGTTACGGTGAGGAATTGACTGCCGAACTGGTGAATCAGGGCTGGCGCAAGTTCTGGTCCAAGCGGGAGAATCGTCCGTACTACTGGAACAAGGTGACTGGCGAATCGCTGTGGGAAATGCCCGGCACGAGACCGTTCGATCCGCTCACGGATCCGCTGGGGATTTGCCATGCTGGCGGAGCCACGCCAATTCCTCCACACATGCAGCAACAGCAGCAGCACCACCATCATCATCTGAAGCGAAGGCCCTCTGATGACATGCACATCCATCCGAATCAGCAGCACCAGCACCACGGGGGCGGTGGACCGCCCATGAAAAAGTTCGTACTGGCTGGACCCTGGGACCTAGAGGTGTGCACCAATGCGGTTATTGTGGAGCGCCCCCCAACATTGCTGCCCCAGCCACATCCGGAGGTTGAGGCGCTGAGAGCAGCCCTAAGCATGAAACTGCTGAAGACCTACGAGGATCTGTGCATGCGCAGGGAGAACATCAAGGCGCCGAGGGATTCCTTCAATCGCTGGCTGATGGAGCGCAAGGTGATCGATACCGGATGCGATCCGCTGCTGCCCAGCAACTGCAAGCCTGAGATATCCAGCGCCATGTATCGGGAGATCATGGCAGATATACCCATAAAGCTGGTGAAGCCCAAGTTCACGGGGGATGCCCGCAAGCAGCTCTCCCGCTACGCCGAGGCGGCCAAGCAGATCATCGAATCCAGATCAGCGCCGCCCGAGTCGAAGAAGGTGGTCAAGTGGAATGTGGAGGACACGTTCCAGTGGCTGCGGCGCACAGTGGGCGCCAGCTACGAGGATTTCCAGGACCGCCTGGCCCACTTGAAGCGTCAGTGCGAGCCGCATCTGGTGGAGACAGTCAAGAGTTCGGTGGAGACGCTCTGCGTGAAGATCTACCATCTGTCCGCGGATCATTCCCGCAAGATACGAGAGCGGCACCTGCAGCTGTTGAAGGAGCATGGCATACCGGAGCCCACGCCTCCACCGCCGCCGCCGCACCTAAAGAAGGTCTGGTGCTATCCCATTCAGTTTGCTGTGCCCTCGCCCCGCATGCCGGCCATCGAATATCTGCAGGATCGCGATCACATGATCATCAAGTATACGCCCGCAGCCATCAATCAGCCGGATGCCCAGTACATCAACCTCACCTATCTGCAGAAGCTGGAGCAGCTCTATCGGCACAACTGCTTCGACGATAAGAAGTTCGATCTGTTCATTGGCCGTGTGTGGTGCCTGCTGAAGCGCTATCAGACCTTTCTGGGCAACTCATTAAACTCCTCGCAGGAAGCGGAGATCACCCAGGCGGCCCTGCCAGTACCGGTGTTCGAGTGCCTTCATCGTCATTTCGGTGTCAGCTTTGAATGCTTTGCCTCGCCATTCAATTCCTATTTCCGGCAATATTGCTCCGCATTCGCGGACACGGATGCCTACTTTGGCTCTCGAGGGTGCGTCTAATCGAATTGATTTCCTGTTATTCAATAGTACATTGATTGATTGATTTCCACAGGCCCTTCCTGGAGTTTAAGCCCGTGTCGGGGTCCTTCCAAGTGAATCCTCCACATTGTGAGGAATTGATTGAAGCTTCATTGGTGCACATTGACAAACTGCTCACCGATACCATGGAACCGCTGAGGTAGGGTGTTTCCGGCACATGCCCATCATGCGCATCTAATACCTCGTGATTCCTCCTCTTAGCTTCATTGTTTTTGTGCCCGAATGGAAGAGCATATCCAGGCTGGACGAGAGCATGTACAAGCGCCGCTCAATGGTGGTCCTGGGCATGGCCCACGAGTACAGGCATGGCTACCAGCATATGCTGCAGAAGTAAGCATCTAATTGGACTCCGAATACAGCAGAAATATTCATAATTGTCTCCTTGTTGTACCTACCCAGATCGGAAGTGCTTATCAAGTGCATGCAGGGCACCCAGGTGGTCTGGCTGCAGAACAGCGCCGGCTACGCCCGCTGGGGACCCAACGAGAATCGTGTGGAGGCATTGCGCGAGGCCTTCCGGCCGCAACGGGATCGCGAGCGTGAACGAATGGCAGTAGCTGCCGCCAGCAGCCATCCCAGCCAACAGTCTCCAGCGGCCACGCCACCATCGTCGACATCAGGAGCGGCCACAGGAGTGGCATCAACGCCGATAACGTCCAGCACAGCAAACAGTGGTAGCGCCAACAATGCCACAGCCATTACAACGAGCGCCAGCAGCAACAGCATCCCATCCCCAGCCTCATCTTCTTCCATTCTGACGCCTCTTTCGCCACACACGCCCACTGGGAATCCGCCGCCGCAGTTCCCGCCAACCATAAGCAATACGAGCAACAGCAGCAACCTGGTGGCTGCCTCGCCCACAATGAGTGTACAAAGTGACTGCTCATCGCCCTCATCGTCCACGATGTCGCTCTCGCCGGCTCCGGCCTCCGGTGGCTATCCGGATGGCGGGAGTTCGGCAACAGCTGCTGCTGTTAGCATTACGGCCACGGCCAGCACATCGGCAGCAGGGACTGCCTCAGCATTTGGCCAGGCCACCAGCATCAATAGCTCTGCCAGCACCCAGGCAGCCATCAATTCGGCTGTCTAGAAGGCAGGGATGCACGGAAGCAAGCAGCCTACTTCAATATCCATATTGTTCTATTTTTTCGAAACTATCTGTGCACTTTTGGGCTAAGTACCACAACGTTGTGTTTACTTCAACTAGGATAAATATTAGGGGGAATATCGCATGAGGAAATCAATGAGTAATTGGGGGGTTCGGCTCCCACCGAATGCAGAATGCCAAAGAATATTCTATCTTGTTATACACTTTTCTACGCTATGCTAAATCCTATATATCTATCTATATTGATGATGAGTTTTTCATTTTTATTTTTTTTTGGCATTCGGCTGCTGGGAGGATTCACATCACCCCCCAATGCGCAATCCGTTCAGTGTTAGGGCAAACAAACAAGTTATACATTTTAAGTGTACATATGTTATATTTAAGTTGAAATAGTTGATAGATACCGGCCTGGCCGTCGTTTATCTAACAAGCATGAGCGAGAAGAGCATGCGAGCAGTATACATATATACCCCCCAGAAACCAAGGGCCAGGCAGCTACCCGAAGAAAGGACTCTTAACGATGCGCATACATAGTATGGGTAGTGGGGGTATGTGGGATATGTTCTCCCACCATTGTTCTGGGGGGTATTACAAAATGGTTTTTCCATTCGCAATACAGAAAACAGAACATTAAATAATAAACCAACCAACACCAACCACACACATATAAAAACAAACTCTGAAGCCCCTAAAACAATCTTTTGTGAGACTATTAACATATTATAGGATACATTTACCTTAAAACGATTATTGCAAACAATTATTTGAATACTGAAATATCGCATGTACCAAGGCGATAAGCATTAAAGTAAGTAGAAGAAACAGAATACGGAATGCGCAAGAGAACCAACATTTTGTAATGAAACTACACCTACGCACCCCGCACAATAAACGACAACAACAAACATTTTGGTATGGTCCAAGACCTCGGAGATCTCCAGAAAGTTTCGAATTTCTGGATGGAAACTCCCTTGAAGGACTCGGAAAAACAATTGAACACACATACACACACAACTAAAGGGAATTTAGCCAATTTATAGAATGTAGCACTCGGCAAACAAATTTATAGAAATCAATTAACAATTAAGTCGAAATTTATTAACTTAAAACGAATATGACAGATCCCCAAACCCCCCATCCACCTCACACACACGTATCGTATCGTAAACACACACAAACAAAAGCATTTTTGCGCTTAACTAAACAACATTTTCTTTCGATTCAAATCTGTTATTATGTAAACCTTTTTTATTATTACATATTATTATTATTATATTATATAGACATCGTATCGCATAAGTGTGTGAGTGAGTCTGTAAACCTCTTGGATATGGATTAGCTGTTTGGAGAGAGTGTACTCGTATAAAGAACAACTTAAATGGCTATAAACGCAAAAAGAAAAAAAAAACAAACCAAAAAGTCTCAAAGGCATTCAAGGGGGAAATTCAATATACAAACGTTTCCAGCTAAATATTATATTATATAGCTAATCTATATAGTCCATAATATGGCGAGCCTCTACATGATCTCTAGGCTGGAGTCGCTGTTTTTTGTGACGACCTCGGTTTCGGAGGAGCCTGAGCCGGAGCCAGCATCGTCGCCCTTCTCATTGTCATCCGACGGACTGTGCAGATGATGATGATGCGGCGAACTGGCCAACTGCCAGGCGGGAATGGATGGCACTGGCGCCACGGGTGACGCGAACTGCTTGCGATTCAGCAGCAGACCCTTGATGGCATCCAAGTCGCTGCGAAAGTTACTAAACTCCCGATTCAGCTGCTGGGCGTGATCCCTTTGCTGGCTGGTGATCAAGTCCTTGACCACAGAGATCTCTTTGTTGAGGTCCTCGGTGCGCGTCTCGACCTTTTTGTCGATGTCCTCCAGCACCTCCTCGACGGGCTTCCTCTTTGGCTTGCCAAACAGGTAGGGGGCAATGAATTTCTGTTCGAAACGGATAGTTTAATGGGTCAGCCACATTACATGGTGTTGCTAGTTAATCCCCACTCCACTCACCTTCCAGAACAGGTACACCGCATAGATGACACCGCTAAACAAGGCCGTCGAATGGATTATCTCGCGTATGCGGCCGAAAACTGTTGGCTGTAGCTGCAGAGCCTGCACCTGGGAGCCAATGCTGATAACCGTATTGGGATTATTCGGATCTTGGGTAAAGACGCCGGCCCGCTCGCAAGCCAACTGAATTTCATGGGCCGTCAGACCTTTGGACCGCAGGAATTGTTGCTTCTGGATAAGCGTTGTGTGCCGCACTTTTGTGTTTTGTAGAAAGCTAACCGCTGTGGTTATCTTTTACATAGTTGAATGGATTATATTATAGATTAGACAAAGTCAAAGTGCAAGGGGGTGGGGTGGCGGGTGCAATTTACCAGAGACTCACGGGGCGGCTCCAGCTCGTCGCCCGCACCGAAATCCTGCACCGATGTGCTGGTGGTGGCCATTATGGTTGTGTCCCCAGTATCCGTATTGTTCCTGGACATTTTAATATCTACTTTTAATTCAATTTTGTTGTTTTCTTTAGACCCAGTACCCCAAAAATCAGTCGCGTCGCAATATTTATTCGATTTGTCGGAAATCTAACAGTGAAATAAGTGTAAGGTGGGGCCCCTTGCCAAAACTATTGTATGCCAGTCTGTTTATGACGTCACAAAATTGAATCAAGTGCTGCTTGGTGGAAAATTAGCAAGAATTAAAGAATAAAAATATAACAATTAACATACAAAAATCATTAAAAATGTTGATTATTAAAGAAAATGTTTAATCAGGCAAAAAACCTAAATATAAGTTTATTTTGCGTCACCTTCTCAATAGCCACAGAGACAACCTATCGCTTTGTAAGAATCCAATATATCGGCCACAGCGGCTCTTGCAACGAAACGAAGCCGAAGTACTTTTCTTTTATTTTATTTTAGTTCCTCAATGGGAGGAAACAAACGAATTTTTCCAATAATGGACACACTAAAGGGCATGCTCAAGGCCTACGAGGCATGGGTGGGGAGGAATCCGGATGTGGTGGGCGACTTTGAGACCACAGCCAAATGGGTGTCGTACTTTATAGCAGGTATTTGTGGATACTTCTTGGAGTGTAACTGCTGATGATGCAACTTGTAACCCGTTACAGGTCGGATATCCTCCTCCAATGTGGTCTCCGAGCTGGTCTATACCCTGTCCAATATGCTGGTCTTCTATAACGATCGAATCATCGACGGGGCACGCAATGCCAAGGAAAATTCGGTGCTCCGGCTGCAGTCTAAACTCTGCTACCGTCTAAAGGTCACGCTGACGACGCTCGAGTACAGCGAGGTGTTCATCGAGATATCGGCGAGGCGGCTGTTCGGCCAGACCGGCAAGTGGCTGGTGATAGCGCTCATACAGGTCTTCAAGGCGGCAGGAAGATTGTTTATCTTGAGACATTCCACATCCGATATAATCACCTCACCGCCCATAGCCGCCCTGAACAGACGGGCGCTGGGCAAGCAGCGCAAAGGGGCAGCGCCGGAAGTGCCCGCCGCCAATGACGATGCCAATGTGATGCAATCCCAGCACTCCATAACTTTCCAGCTGAAGCGTTCGGGTCGCATCATCCGCAAGGTGGAGGGTGCGCCGCCCATACAGTATCGCGACTTCAAGCTCCACGTGGAGAACACGGAGGCGGCCAAGACGCTAATACCACGCGAGCTGCTCACCGCCGAGTACCTGTACATCTCGAAGCCGCTCATCCATTTGGCAGCGATGGGTCTGTTCGGGCGCCGCAGCTGGAAGCAGTACATGGTGGCCCTGTCGATGGACCTCTACAGCATCCATTTGTATCGCCAGCGCAGGCATCTGATGTCCAAGCAACAGAAACTGGAGCTGAGCAGGCGCTGCATCAACCTCATGTATTTCCTGGTTCGCTCCCCGTTCTATGAGAGCTACACGCAGTCGAGGCTGGAGCGGCTGCTCGATCTATTGGCCCGTACCGTGCCCATGGCCAAGATGGTGTCGGGACCGTTGAAGGACTACATTCCACAGTGGCAAAGCACGTACTTCTACCTCTGGTCCACTTAAGGATCGGCAGGAGAACACTAGTATTTCCCCCTCCACCCCTTAAGTTAAGTTTAAAGTTACAGGTGGCTATTGATAGATCGATGGTGCGTCGTGAGTTTTTGTATGGCTTTTAAATGATATATGGAACAATATTTTTACACATACAATATTAAACGAATTGTTGTTTTCACTTACATTCTAACTATACATAACAATTATTCGTAATTATAATTGGCTAAAAACACACGCACACACAGACTGGAGACTGGCGTCGGGAGACTGGGAGACTGTGGACCTCGGACGAATCAAAACTTCAGACTGAATCCCGGTCCCATGGCCAGCTGGCGTTGCGTCAGTCCTGCATGCAGCACAAAGCCCGTGCTGCTGGCCGAAGACGCAGCCACGGCGGCTGCAGTGGCGGCCGCTCCTCCATGGCTCTTCTTATTGCCCGTGATAATGCCCGATGAGAGTTTATTGACGGCCGCAATGGGCTCGTCCCTGCCCAGCTGCTTGAACTGAGAGCCACCCGATGGTGGCTTGGGGGAGGAGGCCTGTGCCTTGCGTGCGCCCAGCTCACTCTTGGCCGGCCACGTGGGGAACATGGATGGATCGATGGGTAGGGGTAGCTCCTTGAAATAGGCATGCTTCAGGGCCGCATCAGCCGTCAGTCTTTGTTTGGGATCGTACGTCAGCAGGCCCTGCAGCAGCGACAATCCCATATCGGAGGTCTTCTCCAGAAAGTGTTTGCGCAGCTGTGACACGGGATATTCGGTGAACTGTGAGTTCTGGCTCAGCATGTTCTTGACGGCGGGTAGCTCGGTATAACCAGGCCAGATCTTATCGTTGGGTGTTCCCAGTTCCTGCATACAAAAAAAAAACAATTAAAATAATTTCAAGGGGGCAAGCTACTCAATCTATGCGTACCTTAAAGATTCTATTCAGTTCATCGATCTCCGATTTGCCTGGAAACAGTGGCAACATCTGCAGGAACTCGGCGAAAATGCAACCCACCGACCACACATCAATGGGCGTCGAGTAGACCGGGGAGCAGAGTAGCAGCTCTGGTGCCCGATACCAGAGGGTGACCACCAGCGAGGTGTACTTCTTGATCGGTGAGCCATACTCGCGTGCGAGCCCAAAGTCACCGACCTTCAGTATGCCCTTGTGGGAGAGCAGCAGATTGGAGGTCTTCAGGTCCCGATGCAGTATCCAATTGTCGTGCAGATGGGCCACGGCCAGCAGCAGTTGCTGCGTGAGGCACTTGACCTCGCCGGGAAAGAAGCTCTGCTTGCGGTTCTTCATCGTCTCCATCAGAGACTTGAGATCGTGCTCCACATAGTCCATCACAATGAAGATCTTGTCCATGTTCGAGCCCACCACAATTTCACGGACGGTCACAATATTGGGATGCTGGCCCTTGAGCAGCGTATTGATCTCCCTCAGGGAGGTGATGGGGAAGCCCTCCTTTTCTTTTTCCATTTTCAGACGCTTAAGGGCGACAATCTCGTTGGTTCGCTTGTCCTTGGCGCGATAGACAACGCCGTAGGTGCCCTCCTCGATGCGATTCAGGCACTGGAACTCCTCCACAGAACGACAGCCCTGCACGCCTGGATAGTAGTTGGGCAGGGGTATGCCCTTGTCGTCGCAGGGCGTCTGCTCCTCCAGCGATCGCAGAGGCTGTTTGGCTGTGGCCGCCTTCTCTTCGCTCGTTTGGGGCTTCTCCTCCACCACTTGGGCCATGCCACGCTCCTCGCTGCGCGTGCTGGTGCTGGGGGAACGCTCATGCTGGTTATTCGCGCCATCCTCCCCGTCTTCGTCCATGCTGCTGTCGTGGGAATGACTCTTGGAACGGGAACGACTGCTGCGGCTGGACTGGGAGCTGTCAGAGCTGTTTTTGGAGCTCGCTGCCGAGCGGGAGCGTGACGACCTTTGGCCCTTGGGCGACTTGTAGAGCTCGCCCACACTCAGCGGGCTGAGTGTGGGCAAGGGAATCTCTTCATCGTCTTCTGCCGGCTTGCCGGATGATTTTCTTTTGCTCTTCTTTTTCGTCTCGTAGCTATCGTCGCTCTCATTGGATCCCGAATCGGTGTCACTGTCCGCACTGTCCTCATCATCCTCCTCCTCCTCGTTGGAATCGCTCTCCTCACTGCCGTCCTCTTCCTCATCGTCATCCTCCTCGTCCCCGATCACCTGCACCTCCTCAACGCTGGGCTTTCTCCGTTTCTTGTACTTGATGTCCCGCTCGTCGCTCTCCAGCGCCTTCTGCTTCCTCTTGACGATGTTCAGGCCAGCGGTGACGCTGGCGGCCACTGTCGCTGGACTGAGGGCATCGCTATGCTCGTTTCGTTCGCGTAGTAGCTCCCGGCGTGCCTCCAGCTCGTCCCGAGCCGTTTGCTTCCTCTGGCGATTCTCCCGCTCGGCGGCCAGTAGCTTCTCCCTTCTGGCCAGCAGCTCTGGATCCACCTCCACGTTAATCTTTCTCCGGCTGACTTCCGAGACATCTTCCCTGGGCGGCGGCTTGACTGAGCTGCGGTGGGACTTGTGGTGCTTCTGATGCTCCGGCTCTGGGCTGTCCAGCAGCTCGATGACTCGCTCGTGACGCTGCTTGTGGCTGCGGCCGCGCTCCCGCTCCTTGCGACTCTCCCGCCGATGCTCGTAGTTCTCCTCCGTCTCGTAGTCCTTGACGTAGTTGTGGCGCTTCTTCAGCAGACGCGAGCGCAGATCCTGCTCGAGGCTCTCCGCATCCTTGCTCTCGGCATATTTGCTGCCTCTCCTGCTGGGCGGCTCCTCCAGGGGGTAGTCGGCATGCCGACTGCTGCCGTGGTAGCCGCCCGACGGATAGGAATGGTAATCCCCTCGAGCACCCACCCTGGGCCCACCTAAATGCATGGCCTGGTGATGCTGATGGACATGGTGATGGGCATAGCCCTGTGCTGACGGCGGCGGCGGTGGTGGCAGGGGCGGCTGTGGATAGTGATAGGCGGCATGGCTCAGGTGATGCTTGGGATATCCTCCTGCCGCAACGGCTCCTCGTTCACTGTTGTTGGTGCGTGGATGATGGTGGTGATGGTAGTGCTCCTCCCTGGTCCTATACTCGTATCGATGCTCACGCTCAGCGCCACCACCTCCGCCTCCACCCTCTTCTCTCTCCTTGTGGCGCCTTCGGTCGCGGGAATGTTTCTTCTTCGATTCACGCTTCGATCCAGTCGCTTCCCTGCTGGCCTGCGGCGGTTGTATGTACAGTGAATCGGCATCGGCATCGTGCTCCTCGTCCCCGCTAAAAGTAAGAGAGAGAGAAATAATTCACAATTATGGCGCCGTGCTAAAAGTTCTGCCCCCGATCTTCCGATGCCAATCCGCGACGTTGCGCTGACGCTGCCCGATCTGATCTGTTCTGTTTGGTGTTGCTGCTGCAGTCTATGATGCTGAGGATTACATTTTACACAGTGCCCTTGGGGGGCTTCAAAGCTCACGGCGTTGGTGGTGATGGTGTGTCCACACGCTTCGCTCTGGAATTCTTTTGGAGATTAGAATCAAACAACTTTAGTGCAGTACTTTAAAGCGGAATTCGTGCAACTAATTGAAGCAATCATCTCGGCGCTACTCCAGAAAGGAGAGGACGGAGCACTCTGAGGAGCACCGAGTGCAATCAACAAGGGGTACTTACCTGGATTCCGCTCTAGCCCTGGGCATAGGATCGGTACGGATGGGTGGGACTATTCCATGGAGCATTGATGAGTTTTGAAACACTCCCAAGGGCTGTAAAATGTAAACCCGACTTACACACAGACTGCAGCTGCACCACAAGCAACCTGCCACCTGCTACTCTGCTATTTGGGGATGGATCTTTTATCTTTCTGCTCTGTTCTGTGCTTTTCGGTTGACAAAAAGACAAAAAGATAGAGAGATAGGGAGAGAGAGATAGAGAGAGAGAGGAGAGACACGGATAGATATTGAGACTTGGGGGGGCTTGGAAAGAGGAATTGAATTAGCAAAAGTTTCATCAATATTTTCATTGTGGTTGATTGATTTGATTTGATTTACAATTACAATTTACCGCCAGCAGCACACGATACGAGATCCGGAGAGATAGATCTCTGGAACATATTGGTATGTATTTATTAGTCAGCGCAAGCGATTAGCGTTGGTTGGGGCTTGGGCATTGGCATTGGCTTTGGCTTGAGAAGATTCGTATTCGTATTTGTATTCGTTTTCGTTTTCGCATTTCGTTTTCGCTCTCCACCTGCCCTGAAGAAGGATGCGCTCGCTTGCTCGCTCGCTCTCTGCCGATGCATTTTTACACTGGACGGGTGCACAACATTATTTTGAAATTCAAATTTCGTTTGCAGTTTGCTTGCACTTTTTATGGTTTTTCATTTTGTTTTTTTGTTTAACAATTATGTATTTTTTTTTTTTTTTTATTATTTATATTATTATTAGGTATTGTTGTTGGCCATCGCGCGCCTCGGTCTTGGGACAAGTACACACTTTTTGGCCTATTTGCAATGAAAAAAGTCAAGTCAATTAAATGGTACAACAAATATTAGGGATTCAGTAATTGGTTATCATCAATAATTGGATTTTGGTTTCATTTCTTGTTTTCTATTTTGGTTAACAAACAAGCGCGAAAGGGGTGGTGTGGGTGATCGGGGGAGGATTCTTTCTGTTTATGTGTGTTCTTTTTACAATTTACAAATTCGCTTTTAGATTTTTGTAGAATTAGCATGTAGAAACAGATACAAAAAAAAAAAATGCTTGGTAAAAAATTGTTTCACCCATCGCACACACACACACACACAAGCACACAGATACAGTGCTGCCAACTGTGGAATTCAATTCAAGAAAAAAACAGCTAGTTGTACACATTTTTGGCGCAAATCCCGCCAAGTTGCCAGCACCAGACAGTGTATATGAATGATGTACGCTTGCCTTTGGAGGTGTGGGGGTGTGTGTGTGTGTGCAACAATTTTTCATGAATCGCACATCAAAAGATGTTCTATTACTACGGGCACGGGGATCTAAACCATATACACACCTGAGATAGTGCCCATCGGTGGGGCTACGCAATTGGCCATCCTCGCTGCCAGATGAAACCATCTCGTGACCCACAGTCCGCAAATTGCTCGACAATGAATAATATTCACAACGAGTGTGGAGTGCTCTGCTGCTGCTGCCCTTCCAGTGACAGTAGCTGGCGCTGGCTGATTCACGTAATTTTCGAGCAGCTTTCGCAGCGTTTGGATGGCAATTTAATCTCTACGCTGGCAGCCAAACTGCATTTATGTATATTTAACTTTGTTTTTCGGTGGAATTCTTTCTTGTTTTAGCAAATGTGTCTGTGTGAAATGTGAAATTACACGCAAAAAAGAAAAGATGGCGTCAGTGTGACCGCGGATTTTCGTTCAAGTATACCCGTCTGACCCCCGGAAATATACCGAAAAGTATATTATATACCGTAAGCGTGCTAACTCGGTTCGTTTTTGTCGAGCAGCTGTTGCGTCAGCTGCTTTGTTCAACATTCTTTCGGCCGCAATTAATTAAATTTATTGAAAGAAAAGGATACTTTAAACATGTTGCACGGCATGTCGCGTCGTATGTTGTCGCTGCTGGGGCGACAAGGGCGCCGCCTGGCTGCCACTCTGCCCACAAATGAGCCGCAGCCCAACGAGGAAGTCAGCCACACGGTCAGGAGGATTCGCGAGGAACTGGCCTCCGACAAGCAGAGACTGAAGTGGCGCACACCGATCGGAGACAGGCCCGAGGACTGGAACAGCAAGCTCAAGCTGTTCTCCAACTCTGAGCAGACGTCGGATTTTATAGTAATGATGCAGCGGCCCATCGATCTGTCGCCCAGGAACATGAAGCAGTGGTGGGAGAATCGTCAGGAGAAGATCGAGCGGCACATGCAACAGTTTATACCGGAGCGGCACAAGATCCTGGGCGCCGAGCTGGCTGCCGCCCATTTCATACTCTATCGCGGTGGGGCCGCCAAGTTCATTAATGATCCCCGCTGGCATCGGGCCACCGAAGACGGGGAATTCAGTTTGCCCAATAGATTCGATCCCAGCTACAACGTGGAGGCGCTGCGCTGCGACAACATGGTGCTCTACTACGAGGGATTGGAGAACTTGCGCTGCCTGGGCCAGCTCAAGTTTCTATCCTTTCACAATGTGAAAACTTTCGATGACTGGTGCCTGGACCGGGTTTCGGGCGGCGAGTATCCGCGTCTGGAAGTTCTCGACCTATCTGGCACTGCAGTAACCACAAATGGGCTCTCCTGTCTGTACCGTCTGCCGCAGCTGAAGCTTCTAATCTTAGATGATCCCAAGCAAACGCTGGAAATGGAATTGGCGACGGCCATGCTGGAGGTGGCTCTGTCCCCTCTGAAAGTAGTTGGAGCAGATGCTATACACAGCCATAGTTAAACTTGTTATTATATAATTAAATGATATACAAAGAAACAATGAGGAGTGTTTATCAACTTTGTGCTGGTTTTGCTTTCAAATATTCCGCTTTAATGGCATCGCGTTCTTCCAGTGGCGGCAAATAGGGAGCTATTCCTTTGCCGCGGCGGTCTACACGTACCTTGTTCTAAAAGAAAATGGCATTCAAGTGAACATTAATCATTGTTTAATTGATAAACGTACCCAAAACTCTTTGCAATTGTTATAATTTGCAAAATAAACCTCGCACTTGTCGCGGTCAAAGTTGTTTTTGTTGAGGCACTTGAACGACAATTCCTGCTCCTGTAAATGGGGTTAATACACATCTTGTATGTTGTCTATTATTAACATACCTTTAAGCAGGGATTATCGCGCTCCGCATTCAGGTTGGGCGGCATTTGTATTTATAGGAAATTATTTAAATAAATTACATAAATTTCGTTTGTTTTCGTCTGTCGCTCGGAACTGCCAACTTGCTGAACAAAACGGGCCCACTTCCGAGCTGTGCAGGAACAGCTGTTCGGCAGGTGCTGAATGAAAATGAATACATTCAACTTTGAAATCAAATTAAAACGCGAAAACAAAGTCTATTATGAAAATGTAAGTGAAATAAGTACCCCTGGTGCATAGCTCTCTAATCCTGCATCTTTCCCACAGGACATGCTGCTGGGCTGCGTGCAGTTCCAGTGCGGCGCCGAGACAAAACATGAAGGAATTATTTTGTATCTTGAGGGAGTCGTTAACTTGCAACTCAGTAGCAAGACCGTGGGCCTATTCGATGCCTTCTACAACTCGGTGAAGCCCATAAACCTGCTGCAGAACAATCTCGAGCTATCAGCCCCCGGGAAGCTGAGCGCCGGTCGCTCCGAGTTCCATTTCGAGTTGCCTCTGGTCTGCCGCAAGGAACCACGTATTCTGTACGAGACATATCACGGAGTCTTCATCAACGTCAATTATCAACTGCAGTGCACCGTCAAGCGAAATTTTCTGGGCAAATCCATGACGAAGATCCAACAGTTCTGTGTGCAATACAAGCCAACGGGCCTGGGCGAAGATTCCCTGCGGTCGGTGCCCTTTAGCCTGAGTCCCGACTCGCTGCAGAAGAATGCCACGGCCAAGGAGCGTTTGTCCATGCCTCGGTTTCTCATCACGGGCCGCCTGGATCGCAGTGAATCGTGTGTAACGATGCCCATAACCGGCAGCATTATGGTGCAGCATACGGAGGCGGCCATCAAATCGATTGACATGCAACTGGTGCGTGTGGAGACTTGTGGCTGTGACGAGGGTTACTCCAAAGATGCCACCGAGATCCAGACCATACAAATCGCTGATGGCAACGTTCTGCCCAAGCTGGAGCTTCCCATTTATATGGTACTTCCGCGACTGTTCACTTGCCCCACGCTACTCACAAAAAACTTTAAAATTGGTATGAAACGCTGTTCCTATATATTCGGAATTCTCATTTTAATTGATTTGATCTCTTCCAGAGTTTGAATTGAATCTGGTGGTTGTGTTTAAGGAGGATTATACAGTGAGTGAAAACTTTAAAATAGTTTTCAAACGCTCTGCAGGCCCATTGCCCAGCAAAATGACTACCGCAGGACGTTAAGCGAATGCCCTCAATCGAATATGGCAGCTATTTATCTATATTTAATGCAAAAACTTAGTTTAGTGGCAGCTTACAATAATCAAAATATATTTACAACAAACTATACACATATGTCATATGGAATTTGAATTGGCCGCCAAAGTCATCAGCTGTTGTGCTCATTGTGGGCTTGGCCAATTTTTTGACTCGTGGCCGCATTATTTTCTCGAAGTTTTATGTACCGTGAAGCGTTTGATAAGTGTCGTAAAATGAAAGTGTTTTAGCAAATTGATGCAGTGGAAAAACCGTGCGTGGCCTTGTGAATTATAGTTTCGGAGCGGTCAAACGGTTCATTTGGTTGTGAATACGCACGCTTCCATGTGCGATTGTATATTTGGTTGTTTTTGTTATTTAATGAGCCCGCAAAAAAGCCGAGTAAGCTGAGTAAAAATTCAAAGAGAAATATTATATAAGGTCCCATATGACAGGCATCTATAAAATTCTTTGTGAACTTCTCCACAAACATATTGATTACTTTACTTTTGATTGTCTTTCAATTGCTGCAATTCAATGATTATGATGGCTGCGGGAGTAATGAAAATTGATTTGCTCTTTGTAAGTTGGGATGCTCTCCGTTATTATCTTTTAATTTGGCCCCACACAGCTGCCAAAACAAAGACTCTCTTTCGCTCGCTCTCTCTTGTTCGATCTTCATCAGCACAAACACACACACACACACGCATTGTACTAGCCTCGGGTGCTTCTCCCACGATTTGGAGTTTACCGTTAGCCAGCTGAATTTACTGTATTATTCTTAGCATACTCTTCTGCTCTGCCCTCTGACGACTCTTTCTCTGTCCCGCCTTCTCTCGCTCCCACTCAGAGTTTCCGTGTGTGACCGGTAAGTGCATATCAATTTCCTGTTCTCCACTCTCTTGCACTGCAAGGGGAAATTTTTTTTAAATCTTTAATAAGCTGATACTGGCTGCTGCTGCTGCTGTCAGACACTACACCCACACACTCGCGCATGCAGTGCTTTTTATGTGTGTGCTGTGTATGTATGTTTCTATATAAATTACTTAGCATAAAATTTCTTGGCTCCCAATCCACTTCTGCCTCTCTGTCTTTCTCTCACTACTCACTGCGCCATCTTTCTTTCGGTGTGTCTGTCTCTCCGGTCCTGTCCTGTCCTGTCTCTGATGTTCTTGTTTGTGTGGAGTGTGCGGATTGTTGGTGGATGGGGAGTGACATTTCGGCCATCTCCTTTACATTCGATATACAAATATATGCATACATACATGCATACATACAACGTGTGTGCAAGTGTATGTACACATATCCTTTACAAAAAGGATGGGCGAAAGTTCTCGCGGAGGCAAGTTTCAAGTTCACTAAATTATGTACATACATACGTACTTGAACGCGCGCTCGTGTGTGTGTGTGTATTTACTCGACTCGACTTGACTCGACTCCTCTTTGGCGTCGGCCTCAAACTTTTTACCATAAAGAAAGTCACACAAGCACACACACGCACAGACACATGCCCATTCACTTGAATGTATTTATTTAAGTCAAATAAAAAGAATAAGAACGAGATGGCACGATATGGGGCCTGTTGAATCCGTCGTACACTTTGGATATACATACATATGTACATATGTATGTATGTAGGAGAGGGGATACCTATACATCCCTAAGCTGCAGTAAAAATACTCAAAGAGGCATAGCTAAGATATTTTAAAGTCACGGATTGGCTGGGGTCACAATTTAAATTTGATACTCTGCAAATCATCTGTGAAAATACATTTCAATTACAAAAATAAGAAATAATTCCAATGAATTCTCATCCATTATTCACTCCACCTGTCTCTCTCCATCTTAAATTCCCTTCAATTTCTTTCAGTGCCCCCAAGAAAGCTGTTGCTCTCTCTCTGCCTTTATCCTTGTGTGCCTGTGTGTGTGTGTGTGTGTGTGTGTGTGTGTGTGGTAACTGAAATTGAGTTTAGGAGGCTAAGTCCACCTCATCGTCAACCCAGCCACCCACTCAGGCCACAGCCCACAGACAGCTGCCTTCAATTTGGTGCTGTGCTGCTGCTGTCGGTGCTGCGGTGTTGCTGTCGCCAAATGTAGCACTAACAAAAGTTTTCCACAGCCTTGTACTCCACAGTACATGCTCGTATATACTATATACTTTTTTTTTTGTCTTTTTCCCCACTGCTCTAGCCCCTGTTCAAAGCGAAACATTTTACATTTTGCCTTCTCGAAATAAGGAAAATGAATAGAGGGCGTCGTATTGGCTACAACTTTTCTGTAAGTAAATCCACTTTTCTGCACGCAAAAACTGTGCACACCAACTGTTGCCAAAAAACTTCTGTGTGTGACTTGTACGCATTTTCGATTGCGATTACTTGCCTATCCTATTGTTATGGCCAACAAGGACACTGGCATTGGCACTGGCACTGGCACTGGCAATAGCAGAGTGTCAATGCCAGAAGCTGTTGTTGTTTTTGGATGTTTAGGGAATGGGTGGGGCAATACTGCTGGGTGTCGTCGTCACGTCATGTAATTGATTTAAAATTAGCACATCGCTTTGAAAATTTAAACTGTTTACAAGTGCCTTGGGACACAGCTGCTGCTGCTGCTGCTGCTTCTGCTGCTGCTCCCAAAAATGTTCATCTATCTGGCACTCGTATCGTGTTTGTTTCAGCGGGTGTTTGCGTTTGCGTTTGCTCTTCTGCGAGTGTGTGTTTATGCATGTTTAATGAACATGAATCCACCAGGCACCAGGCACCAGGCACCAGTCACCAGGCATACCAGCCACCAGGCCAGAGGACTGTAATCGCATTTCAATATGCTGCAGCAGTACCAGCACCACTGAAAAAAAAAGTGGGGAGAAAGAAGAGAGAAAAAAAGGAACTCAAAGCCCAGACCCCAGACCATGGGTCCCCGTTGCGTTTGTCTTTCGTTTCGTTCCTCCGCGTTGCAAGCGGCAATTTAGTTTGTACGGGCAAACTTTTCATACCCGCTCTGACCCGTAAACGAGGTCAGCGCAAAAAACATTTTGAAAAATTCATATGCAAACGTATTTTCAGTTGCCACTCGCATCGCATCGCACCATACCTGCACCTGCACCTGCACATGCACATGCACCTGCACAGGTGGCAATGGCAGCCACCACGGCACCATGCAGCAGGAGAATCAGTAGCAGTAACAACAGCAGCTCCAGTAGGGAAATTCCCTGGCCTCTGGTCGCTTCCTCTCTGTACTCTCGGTTGAAGAGTTTTTGCCATAGAAGAAACAAACTTTTTAATGGCCACACACATTTTAATAGGTGTTCCACTCTGTGTGCTCTCCCATTTGGGGCTCAAAGTCTTTGCCAGTTGGGTGTAAAGTGAAACGCTTCTACTTTTTATTAGTTGGTCAACATAAAATATAATGAAAAAACAGTTGCAGTTGCATTGTAAATTAAATGAAAATCAACATAAATTTCAAAGTGAATTTATAGTAGTAAATCTTTCTCTACTTTATTAACTGTACCTCTGTCCATTCTATTAAATGATTCATTGTTTCCATTTTCACCCACCCCAGTGCTACCCAAAGTTCAAGGATATCTTTCTCTCTCTCTCTCGCTGTCTCTCCCCACTGCTTTTTGCATAATAAATATTGAAAGGAAATTGAATACCACTGCAAAACGTGGCGCAAAAATCATCATCAGCTTGAGCACTTGATTGATTTGGTATAGAATTACTTTCAATTTTTTTTTGTATAATTAATTGCTTCTGCAAAAGTGTTCTGCAAACATGCTGTTAGTCACTCACAGCCTCTCATTTTAATGCTTTAGTGGTTTTTTCTGCACATGTGATACGTAACAGTGGGGCACAGAATGTGCTGCTGCCGCATGTGCTGCAGTGGGTGTGTGTGTGATGGATGCAGGAGCAAAGATAATTAATTTTTCTTTTACGCTCTTATCTTCCCATTCACCACCTACTTAGCACCCCATGGGAACTGTGCTTTTACCAGTGTTGCCCATTCCACTTAATAATTTTCCGTTACTCTAGTGCTGCCCCTCATCTCCAATTTCCTTTTCACTTTGTAATTATGCGACTGTCAGTGCTGCCCATCGTGCAACCATCACACAAGCACACAAATTTGTAATCGGAGTGTAATCAACTCATGGCTCGGCTCCTTCTTGCATTTGCCTCGTTTTAATCCTGCTTCTGGCTCCTAATTGCCTGGGCCCCCCAAAAACCGAAAGCGGAAACTCTTCAGTTTAACACAAAGTGAAACATTTTCCGCTTTTCTTGTTCCGGTCTCTGCTTTTTTCGGGGATAAGCATTGACCGAACCGAACCCGGTCAGGGCAGGGCGTTGGTAATTGTTACATGGGGGTAAACCTGCAGGCGGCTCTATGAGTAATTAGGGTCGGCAGGATTAGTACAGTCGCCTCCGCTTCGATAAATTTGTTGTGCCAGGGGGGGGGCCAAACCCTGGAGCCTGGGGCTCGCTCAAGGTGTTCTTCCTTTGGGCACTGGAAACTGGGATTGGGATTGGGTTTGGTTTTGGAATAAGGATAAAGGTAAGGCTAAGGGTTAGGGGACCTACTCCCCCACATTATGCCATCTCGCGTCCGCTGACGCTGATGTATGTACGTGTTTCGGCTTTGCTTCCGTGATAATTTTCCAAACTTTTTGCACCAATTATGTGCACGGCAGCGCGATATTCTCTCGCTCCTGGCCATCCGCTCTCTGTCTTTGGCGTTTGTGTGTGTGCCTGGGTGTGTGTGGGAGTGTTGGCCTTTTTGTGCCGTGTAGTTTATGCTCATTACGTGAGTGCTGAACGCAGCCAGAACAGAACAGAACAGAAGCCTCACAATTTGTTCTTGTACAAGAAATTGCCGCTGCCGCCGGCTGTACACGACGATATATACCTACTATATATACAGAGAAATCCGCCTACATACACGAGCAGTATATACATATATCTTGTGTAACTGTACGTGTATATCTATATATAGATTTCTTGCCTGGATGCAAAATTCTCGAATTTAATTTTCAGGTAAACTCCAGGGCTCCTGCTTTTCTCTCTGTCCCTTTTGGGGTGGGGCGTTATTTAGTTTTAGTTATTTTGTAAGCAATTTAAAGTTTCACAGCCTATTACTTTAAGTGAAGCCATTTAAATGGCCCAGTCAAAACGCTGCAGCAACAATCAAAACAAAATTTGTGTGTCTACTTTTAATTTAAATTTTCGGTCGCATAAATTCCCCACTTGGCAGCCTTTTCAAAACTCATAAATCAAGGATTAAATCGACTTAGGAACATAAGTCTGGCAAAAACAATTCCAGATTGCCAGACCAAGCGTAAAACTGCCCACGTAATGGTTGCTGCTGGTACACTCGCATGGCAGTGGCCAAGTAGGTGAGTGGCAATGCTTTTGGTTTTCCCCATTCAATAACTGAATGTTTAAAGGAGCATTAAGTTTCTTGGCGATCTCTCGCTGCCCATTCCCATTCCCAAAACTATACCAAGAAAATATTAGGACAAACACAGAACGAACGAAAGAATTGGAGGCTTATCGTCGACGGGGGGCGGGGGACGGCAAAAGTACATAAACTCTCAGTTGGCGCAAAAGTTTCCATTGCATTTTCATTGGAAATGCAAACTGAAGTGTGGGCTAAATGTCTTGTCGTGCTCCTGCTGCTACTTCTGGTATGGCTGTGCCTGGCGCCTGTGCCGGGGATACATTTTGTTTGTTTACTTTGAAATTGTAAATGGATTAGCCGCACTCCGAGCGAGCAAGGAGAGAGAGAGAGAGGTAGAGAGAGGTAGAGAGAGAGAAAGCCAAGCGCGCGCCAAGCCTGACAAATTGAATTTGTTAGACTCGAGAGAAGTTTTCGGGATCCAAACTTTTGCTTGCATGGTTGGGCCATTGGACGTGGTTTCAGGGAAAGGATGGGATGAATGGCACACAACGCAGCACAGAACAGCACACTACAGCACACACATAAACCTCGAAACAAAACTTTTCCCTGACGGATCTCGGATAGTTAGAAAACAGACAGAGCGACAGAGAGCGTTGAGTGTTGGCAAAATAAATTGCCCTCCAGAAGGTGATGGTCCAGAAGCACAAAAGGGTTTAAACTCCTCCCCACACCTCCACCACATCCATCACTATCCTCGGCTGTGTTGTTCCTTGCGAGAGCTCTAGTCATCAATAAGGTAATGCTTTAAACAAAAATCAAACAGACAAATCGATAGATTACCCCGGGAACTTGACAATAATTGAGAGTTTATAAATGACGTGGAGGAATTCCTATGCTTGTTTTGGGTTTCAGGCAGATATTTGTTTGATTTTGAACAGCAGATTGATGGTTGCTCCAAGCCAAGGTGTGTAAATTAATCAACACTCTGTAGGCATCCTCAACAGCAGCTACTTCATTGATACGCCCTTCAGTTGCAGCCAAATTGAGGAATTTTCTCTGTGCAAATAATAAGAGGGTAAATGTCCGTAAAATATCAAGTTCTGCATCAACTTTAAGCCAATTCAAGTGCTGGCCAGGGCCAGGGCCAGGGAAACTGGAATCGACATGGTCTCAGAAGAATGAAAAGCGGCTGCATGTGGTTCGGCTTGAATTTCAATCAAATGCACAAGTGCTGCCCATTCTTTGAATTTGTTTTCAGCCTCGAGTGCTGCCCACTGACAAGCAGACTTGATTTTATGCCTGCACGCTTACCATTAAACCCATTCAAGTGTTGTCCAACGTCAGTTCTAAATCATAATCAAATACTCAAGTGCTGCCCCTTCTTTGCTTTAGTTTTAGATATTAAGTGCTGCCCATTGCAAGCATTGCCTACCTTTAAGCCCGTTCGAGTGCTGCCCAATGGCACTACTTACTCACACCCAAAGCCCCATAAGAACTCTTCTCTGCAATCGATTTGCTCGCCTATCTGTTGCATGAATGGACACGACGGACTGCCCAGAAGATTGGGGGGTGGGTCTGGGGATAAGGCTAATTGAATGTGCTCGATGCGATGCAAATCCCAAGTGAATGGGCGCTCATTGCGATATGTAATCCAACGAAATGATGATTACAACCATCCACGGGCCATTCATGGCAGAAATATCCTTTTGGGCCAGGCCAAGCTATGTTTGAGTCACGTTGCTTACCCTTTCATATTCCCCCGCGGTCTGCGTTCGTCCCGCTGTGTGCTTTGGGGCACTGTACGTCATTTACATTATTATGATGAGATGCAAATCTCGTTAAAGGACACTTCAGGAAGCCGCCCTGCCATCCGCTATTCGCCGTCTGCCCCGCTATATAGACTACACTTCAATATGTGTGCCATATGCGAGGGGCATATATATCTTGTCAGCCACACAATTCTCTCCCTCTTGCTGCTGTCTCTCCCCCATTGTGTGGCTGTGTGTGTATGGGTGTTATTCTTATGCAAATTACATTTCCTGTGTTTGAGCTACAGCTTGTCGCTACATGTGTATGCTTGGAGCACACCGTCCCCCTTCAGTTGTCCTGCAAACAGAGGAAGGGGGCGAATATTTCTGTCGTATGGCTAAAAAATATTCTACAATTCTTTTGTAAAAGTCAACAACAGACGAAACGCTCATAAATGTTTTCGCTTGTGCTTTCGTTTCGTCCCTTTCTGGCTTTCAATTTCCCCCCCCCACTCATTTGCATACTGTCGTATCTATTGTTAGCTGTCTCTCTCTCTACTCTCTGCTCTCTGTCTGGCTATCTCTGTCTCTGTCTGTGTCTGTGGCTCCTGTTATGACATATTTGTTGCTGCCATCCTGCTGACTCTTTGCTTAGTATCTTATTTGCATTTGTAAACTTTCGTGTGGTGGCATTTTGTTCATTTGTTCGTTTTTGTTTTTTCCAACAGATTTTGCATTTTATATCCCCTGCTTTCGTTACGTTTCCCTCGTACCTTCACGCAATCAGAGACTGCTGTGCGGCACACACACGTTTTATTTTTATTTGAAAGTCATTAGCTCTAAAGGGCACACTTTTCCCCATTGCCATTGCCATTTTCATTTTCATTTTCATTCTCTCTTTCCTTTCTATATTTTATTTCGCTTATGTGGCACAAATCAAATGCAGCATCAGCACATTATTCACTGAAATGTGTGGAGTGCAAACTGCTGGAGGTATAAGGACACTTTTAACGGGTTTGCTGATTGCAAAAGTTTCCTTTCAAACTGCTAAAAAAATCCCAATTAATTGGCATACGAGAATCTGTTAATTTGTCAATAATTAAATTAAGAAAGTCCATTGATATTTATGATATTTCACCCTGACTGGCTGACTCGCACGTTCCTTTTCATTTTCCCTCTCCCAGTGTGGCATAGCAGTAAAGCCTAGAATGTGCTCAATGGGAGCTTATCACCCCTGTAGTCCGCTGAAAAAACATTCAAACACAAGCCCAATTCCATTTAGAGAGTACCACATAGCCATAACTATCCTCAAATCCGATCAATACTCTCTACTCTCTCTCTCTATCTGACTCTTGTTCACCGTGGTACTTTTACTCCTACTCTTTTTTGTTGGTTCTGGTCCTGGGCATGGTTAATGGCTATCCAGGCAGCACGTCTGACAATTGGAAAATTGGAAGTTAAAACCATTAAATAAATGAGTGTCACACAAGCGAAAGAGACAGACAGCGATACAGAAGAGTAGATAGAGAGAGACAGAGAGATAGCAGAGAGAGAGAGAGAGAGGAATGGGGTAAAACACAATCACATTTCAGTTGCTGGTGATGCTCCAAAACGGAATGCTATTTCGGGTATTTTTATCTCTTTCGATTTGCCGAGTCACTCGGTAGCAGTCATCCCATCCAATATCCCCTCTGCCCCTCTCTAATATCGAGGGGTTAACCACTTTGATTTGCTCTCAATGGAAACGGGCAAAATATCCAGCAGATATACAAAGCGATATACAGACTGGCATACGGATAAACAGACACACTGACGAACAGACAGGAAGCCCTGTTTGAAAGTCAACAGTTTTAACCTAATCACAGTGGATTTTATTGCCGCCTCTCACACACACACACACACACACACACACACACACACAAACACACTCGATATGAAAAGGAAGGGAAGTTGGAACTGTTAGAGGAAGGGGTCCTTTGCCAGCCATTTGTGGGGGGACCGCATGGATATACGCTACCGAAAAAGGAATCATTAGGGGTCGGCCCTCTCCTGCCTGTTGGCTGCCTCCACTGCCATTGCTGCATAAGAATTTTCGGGTGCGTTAAGTGCCCCCCAGAAAAACCTTTTTTTGGGGGTTCTAGTTGGGTTACACTGGGAGAAAAAGGAAGCTGGGTTTAGCCATAATTAAAGGTAGATCTTAAAGTACATAGTTTTCTTTAAGGTGTTTTCCGCTATTGATACCGTTGTATATTCCTGATTCTTTCAGTTTTCTTTGATTATTTTGGTTGTTTCTATGGATATGTTTCAATGATTTGTTTTACTCTCTCCCAGTGTGGATAAGCAACACCTCTGTGCTGTTTTTTTTTCAGTGCATCAGAGGATTGAGTTTTGGGGATTGCGTTGCGTATTGGTCCAACCGAAATGGCGTCCTGTTTAGAACGGGAGATGGGGCACGGACGGGTGACGTGACGAAGTTGAGCTGAGCCCTAAATGTTATTTATCTCTAGATTAAATGGATTTGTGTGCAAAATTGTCTATTTAGCTTGGGGAAGCAGCATCAGCAGAAGGAGCAGTGGCAGTGGCAGTGGCAGTGGCAGCATCATCAGCAACAGGGAAAGCACTTCTAGCTAGCGCTCTGCAAAGTGGCAGCAACTTCATTGTTTGAACTTTTCACTGAATACGTGGGCGTTTGATTGAGTTTCAACAAGGGTCCCTTTTCCAGTATCTCTCATTGCCTCGGGTGGGTCCTCAAACGGATGCTACTGTTCCCTCCCCCCAGTGCCTCTAGAACTGGCACTGCCTCTCGTTTCAGTTTCTATTGTCAATTAGAGCTGACAAGTGGCTGTCTATGGGCGAAAGTGTTCATCTTTATTTCCTTTAACCGGTTTGGCTGTCATGCGGCCATCGGTTGACAACGTGTACGAGTGTACGACTGGTAGACATTCGATTTGGTTAACGGAATCCAGGCATCTGTTTGTGTGGTAGCCACTTGATGTAGGTCCCCGTTTTCCTCTTTTGGCTATTTCTATACATTTTTCTATTGAATGGGGGAAATATATTTTCTCTTTCATACTTTGAATGCATTGGCAGCACTCTGTCAGTTGTTGTGCCACACTGGGCCACACTTTGACAGCATAGAGCGGAAATAATTCCAGCAGAAAGTCGAAAAATTTACAACACTTTGACAATTTGTTGACATTTTGGAAAGTACTCTAGAACTCTGTCGTGAGCACACGACATGTGTGTG